CCCCCCCTAGTATGTGCTGGCATTTCTTTTCCGTTCGAGAGATTCAAGTAGGGCTTTCTGTCCGGTGTGCCGATTGTTACTGTGCATCTGTGGTACCGTAGACAGGAACAGCCGCCACAGCAGACACATACATGGCCCAAAGTTTGAATAAAACTTGAACTAGTAATATACTGTATTTTCTCTGTCCAGAGTTAATCTCCATCACCCATGAACGCGGGATAGTCGCGGAGGGCTTATCAATGTAAAGCCGGCGGATCTACCTTGATATAGCCGGCGTTTCTTCTGCGATCATCTGCGGCTACGAGCGACAGGTATTAAAATTTGTCGCTCGGCGGGCGACTGAGTACCAAATCACCTGACGCGTACTGTACTTAATATCAGAACATACCTGGAAGAGATCTAATTGTGTGCGTCCTTCTATGTTGACGACTTTGTTTTCACGCTTGCCCATCTGTTTACTCTGGAAAGTTGACTCCTTTATAACTGACTTGATGTCTCGGATACGTCCTAGGAATGTGAAGTCCTTCACTTTGAGATGATTGGCCCGATTGATAAGGTAAGGGGTGTCAAAGTTCTGGATATTATAACCAGTGATGATGTCTGGGTCCACCTCTCGTACAAATGCTGCCCATCTCTGTGATAAATAAGTGTTCAATGTTTTAAAGTTATATTCCAGCAGTGAAAAGGGACTAATAACCGAATGGTTAATCAAGTCAAAAAATCTACTTGAAGCCAGGGCTCCAAAAGTAAAGTACTTCTATCAATGATTGGGTGTCCTTCCTATTATTTTATTGTGGTTGATACCCCTAACAAGTCCTGGGATGGACTACATATTTTTTTGAATATCCCTAAATTGAATGTGCAATAATCAAATTCATCCCACATTATAATTTATTCTGTATTCAATTTATACTGTATCATAATGTAAATAATATCAGTACATATGAAATTTATTCTTAAATATGTTGGGACAACCTCCTTTGTCCATATTGACAGGGTACAAGAAGCAGAGTAAGAACTAGCACTAATATGTCCGCCTCCTTCATATAACACAGAATGTGAGCCTATGACTTGGGCACAGGTGTTGAGTATGACCGCTATCTACTGCATTGCCTTGTTCGTGAGACAGAGGACTCTAATCAAGACTTGCACAGATATATTCAGCATAACCTAGCTCTAACATGTTTACCTGCTTCATGTAACACTGAATCTGAGCCTACAGTATGACCAGGACACAGGTGTTGAATATGACTTACCTCTAACATGTGGGCAACCTTCATGTAACAGTAAATATAATCTGAGCCTACAGTATGACCAGGTCACAGGTGTTAAATATGACTTAGCTCTAACATGTTTACCTGCTTCATGTAACACTGAATCTGAACCTACAGATGACCAGGACACAGGTGTTGAATATGGCTTATCTCTAACATGTGGGCAACCTTCACGTGACAGAAATCAATATCACCATCACTTTGAGTCCGCCTTAGGCTAAGCTCAAACTCAATTTCCCAGACTCAATAGTCATACTCAGCTTGAGTCAACTCAACATGGTAGTATAAGGTCTGAGAGCAGTGTACCTATGACCTTGGTGCAGGTATCGAGTATACCATACCTCTAACATGTCAGCTTCCTTCATGTGACACAGGACTTGTGATCCTATGACTGGAGCACAGGTGTTGAGGGTGAACACATTCCTAATAAATGGTTCATGGTCACCCTGCCTGATCACCATGTTTGCAATCTGTATTACCGGATCCTTGTTTGCCTCCGGGAAGATTCCTGTCATTAACAACATAAAATGAATTGTAATTTACTACTTGAAATGTACCTATGTTGTCCAACTGGTTATTCTTTAATTTCTAATATATATCACATACACATTATGATATACTTCAGTGAGAAAACAAAAAATTAAGTCACTTCTCAAGATGTGTTCTAAGATGAAAATTTAAAAAAAAATATTGTTATCGGTGCATTAAAGTTAAAACTTTCCAGATATCACAGCCAGCCGTATATCAGCCATTTTTCCAGGTACTTCTATTTAATCCTGTATTACAACTCTTTTTGCATTTCCATTCAGGCAAAATGAAATGACCAATATCAGTTGATAAAACTTGTTTCAGAATTATCTTAAAATAAATCCTAAATTAGTCATATGAGAAGAGAAAGAGCGAATGGTTTAAGTAATGAATAGGGGGCAATTAACAGATCTAGAAACGATGCACGAAAATTCACCACTTCTGAAAAGGCCCCATTTTAGTAACTTTTAGCTACTTCATCATAGTAGAAGTGCCTAGAGTGTTTAAAAGAACATAGAATTAAAAAAATTACCAACTATCTGCAAATAAAGCGAGAAAACTGACCAAAAGTGACTTCAGATATCTAGTTTACTAAGGCCAAATAAAATTAATTACTAGGTTCTCGGGCCAATATTTTCAAAAGAGATGCAGCATAACTCCATTTTACATGGCAAAAACGATACGAGGGCCATTTTTTTTTATTGTGTAGTTTATAAAACGTTCATTGTTGGCATTACCTTGTCTTTTTATAGTTGTGTATAGACCCGTCATAGAGCAAGCCTCCGAAAATCCCCCCACGATGTTCCAGACGAGAATCACGAACCCCCCATTCCTTATTTGTACCGAAATGAGCGCCATTTGTACACAAGACTAATAAGTCATAATCATTTCAACGCTTGCCTGTATATCAATCCTTATCTTTATTCAAATGTTTTCGGGACTAGGATGACTAACAAGTAAAAACGACATGCGGACCAATTTTCCGGATTTTTTTAAAGACAGCGGCTGGCGCATTCACATTTTTTTTTTTATTACTTTCACGATAAAATCGGCAATGCCGTGCCCTAAAAAACATGTGCCCAGGCCTGAGAACCAAGTAATCAAATTTGTATCTAAAGGCATACCAAACTTTATGTTATATCCGGGTAATATCCGACAGTATTCTATAGCTGATCAACTTACCCTTCCTACCAGCACATTCTATGTCGTAACTGAGGATCCTTAGGGGCGCTACCTTCGACCATTCTCCATCTGGAGCATGAGATATGAAGTCTTCCCAAGACACGTCCAGCTCAACCTGGCACCGTGAAGTGTGTGGAGGGTGACGGATGTCGGAGTTTGACGAGTTCCTTCGGTCTCGCAGCTGGTATTTACTGGCAGGAACTTCAATCCAGTTACAGCCAACCACATCACTGTCTACCATGAAGCTAGAACACAGACAGAAATCACGACTGTAAATGACCCACCATTATTTACGATCAACACAAAAACCTTTTAAAATATCTATCTCTTTTTTTGGTTTGTTGAAGGTTTTATGTTTTAACAATAAATTCATACGAATGTGAATTTTCAATTGAAAAATCGTTGTTATCACTTCCAATCAGTAAGTCTCTTGTCCTATTCAAGTGAAACCTTCAAATTCTCCCTCAATACCATCTTAAAGTGTGTTGAATAATTCTTCATATTATAGGAACGGCACCCTTGTTGCATTTTATAGCAAGTTATTTCTTAATAATTTAACCCTCCCTGCAGCAACCTTACTGGTAATCCAATCAAATCAATGTTTGTAAAAGAAAGTAAAGGTGTTTATTTTGAAAACTGAGCATTAATAAGGCCTTGCGTGATTGGTCCATACTGTTAAAGATAACCAAAACATGGGTAGAAAATGGAAACATTTCGTTTGGAACACAATGTTTTAACTGCTGACACGGCCAGTACTCTGAATATAAACCAACCATGCTGACTTTTATCCAACCGTGCTGACTTTGAAATGAAAATGCTGACTTTTAAATGATCATGCTGACTTTAAAACGACAATGCTGAGTATAACCTAACCATGGTAATTTAAAGTGAATTTCAGTAAAAAGTCAGCATGGGTGCGTTAAACATTACCATGATATGAGGAAAGTCAGCATTTTGTTGCACTGGTGACTACAGAATTCTGAATTGCATCAGACTTGGGTAATATAACTGGACATTTCTGAATATAACTTGACCACTCTGAATTTTTACTGCAATTCACTTTATATTACCAGTGGATAGCTTAAATTCAGGAGGGATGGCTAAAATTACATATTCTCTAATGCAGCAAGACAAAGGATTTGTAAAAGAAACTGAAGACTTAATAGTTTTGTGAAACAAACAAATTTCAAAATTCATATTAGGAATCCCAAAATCAAATATAAGTTTCGATGAATGAATATCATATTTATTTAGAAATATTTCTTTCATCACTCTTAATATAATCTTAAACTTAAATTGCCAAATAATTAACATAAAATAATTTTGTCACAGATATCCACCAATAAATTCTTACCGAACTTCAAAGTCTATGTTGCTTTCATATGACTGGTATCCATACTGTAAATAGCCTGGGCAAGTAAATCCCTGCTCCAACAATCGCTTGGCTGGCGCAATTAAACGAGGAAGGGAAACGGTGATCTTCAGAAATGGCACTTTTCTGTTGCCATGGTACCCATAGATGCCTAAATAGATTTGAAACCCAATCAGTCAACAATCAAAGTAATTCATTCACTTACTCACCTTTTTAATTAATTTTCTAGCAACTTATGTGCAAAAGGTTTTTGCAAAATATTTTTGTGTTCATGTATTGTTGTACTAAAATACATTTTACAACATGGGTGGTGCATACAAATGAGAACAACTCACTTTCCTTGTTGACCATGTCGACAGCCAGCACAGCATTCTGTAAACCCTCTCGGTTAGACCTCAGGTCCTTCATAACAACAGTGTCGAGTTCCTTCTGTAAACACAATGTAAAACCCTAGTAACACAGTAGTATTAAAATATTGCAATGTGTTGTGTCTGACTCTGAATTATCAATTGATTAATATAAAATATTTTTATTTTCATGCTAATAACAAAATCTACATATTTTTATTTCTTTCCTTAAAAAAAGTATAAATGAATTGTCAGCAAATTTCTGCCAAATGTTAGTTCCATTCTTCACTTGATTATTTTTGAAAATTTAAACATCGTTTTGATGTTGAAAAAACAAACAAGCATGTCATCATTAGAAACAAGAGCCCCAATGGGCCTGCATCGCTCACCTGGTTTTAATCTCACACTTGTAATATTGAAAGTGGACTAAAATACAGCTACAGGCAAAATATCAGTGTTTGATTCATAAGAACCAATTAAAAGATTTAAACATATGAAGCATGTGACCTTGAATGTCGAACACGGACATCAGGTTGAACAGAGTTTATAGTCTTCCATCCCAGCATGCTTCTGGCAAAATATCATTACCTTGGACATTTTGGTTATACAGAACAAATCATTTTAAGATTTAACATATATTGACCACTGTGACATTGAGTATGGGCAAAGGTCATTCACTTGGTAGTCCTTCATCCCAGCATGTTAATGGCCAAATATCATCACCCTTGGCCTTTTGCTTATATTAAGAAGAAGTCTTTTAAAGGTTTTTTAACATATTTGACCCCTGTGACCTTAAATATATGTCAAGGTCATTCATTTGAACAAACTTGGTAGTCCTTCATCCCAGCATGTTACTGGCATTATCCTAGGCCTTTTGGTTATTGAGAAGAAGCCATTTGAAGATGTTAAGACATTTGACCCCTGTGACCTTGAAAGTTGGTCAAGGTCATTCATTTGAACAAACTTGGTAGCCCTTCATCCCACAGGCCAAATATTAGCAGAGCTGCCAACCTTAGAGATTAAGAAATAGTAATCTGCGATCGCTTTTTTACAAACATGTATTCATTACCTTTTATTGTTTTTCTCTAAACGTCTGAATGGATAATTTCCTTTTTTTCCTAGGAGAATTCACATTGAATTAACTCCAGCCTATCTCGAGAATCGATGCAAACGCACGAGTGTATCTGATTTGCGATTATAATACTGAAAACGGACATCGGGACCGGATTACGGCGAAACTAACAAAAAAACAGAAAAATTCCGGATTTTAAAAAAAAAATCGTAATTTTACTTGGAAAATCGTACTAGCGTAATTCAGACCTCAAAATCATAATAATTACGCCTAAATCGTAAGAGTTGGCAGCTCTGTATCAGTACCCTGGGTCTGTTGGTTATTGAGAAGAAGTCATTAGAAGATTTTAACATATGTTACCCCTGTGACCTTGAAAGTGGGTCAAGGTCATTCATTTGAACACACTTGGTAGCCCTTCATTCCAGCATGCTACAGGCCCAATATCAGTACCCTGGGCCTTTCGGTTATTGAGAAGAAGTTGTTTAAAGTAAAATATTGACGTGGGACGGACGACGCACCATGGCATATATTGACCACTGTGACATTGAGTATGGGCAAAGGTCATTCACTTGGTAGTCCTTCATCCCAGCATGTTAATGGCCAAATATCATCACCCTTGGCCTTTTGCTTATATTAAGAAGAAGTCTTTTAAAGGTTTTTTAACATATTTGACCCCTGTGACCTTGAATATATGTCAAGGTCATTCATTTGAACAAACTTGGTAGTCCTTCATCCCAGCATGTTACTGGCATTATCCTAGGCCTTTTGGTTATTGAGAAGAAACCATTTGAAGATTTTAAGACATTTGACCCCTGTGACCTTGAAAGTTGGTCAAGGTCATTCATTTGAACAAACTTGGTAGCCCTTCATCCCATAGGCCAAATATCAGCAGAGCTGCCAACCTTAGAGATTAAGAAATAGTAATCTGCGATCGCTTTTTTACAAACATGTATTCATTACCTTTTATTGTTTTTCTCTAAATGTCTGAATGGATAATTTCCTTTTTTTTCTAGGAGAAACGTCTTCTTGCCCGTCCAGTTTGACACGTTTTTCCGCCATTTTACTTCATCTACAAACGTCCTTTTCACATTGAATTAACTCCAGCCTATCTCGAGAATCGATGCAAACGCACGTGTGTATCTGATTTGCGATTATAATACTGAAAACGGACATCGGGACCGGATTACGGCGAAACTAACAAAAAAACAGAAAAATTCCGGATTTTAAAAAAAAATCGTAATTTTACTTGGAAAATCGTACTAGCGTAATTCAGACCTCAAAATCATAATAATTACGCCTAAATCGTAAGAGTTGGCAGCTCTGTATCAGTACCCTGGGTCTGTTGGTTATTGAGAAGAAGTCATTAGAAGATTTTAACATATGTTACCCCTGTGACCTTGAAAGTGGGTCAAGGTCATTCATTTGAACACACTTGGTAGCCCTTCATTCCAGCATGCTACAGGCCCAATATCAGTACCCTGGGCCTTTCGGTTATTGAGAAGAAGTTGTTTAAAGTAAAATATTGATGTGGGACGGACGACGCACCATGGCATAAGCTCACTTGGCCTTCTGGCAGGTGAGCTAAAAATACAATATGGTACACATGTACAGCATTATAAAAAGTTGGCTACGTATTTGTAATACATTGGAATTCAGATAGCGTGCACTAATTAGTATTTATATTGCTGTACTTATTTTGATTGGCAGTACATGTCAACAGCCCTATAAAACACCATTTACGTGAATTTTATTCAAATCCAGATATCTGCAAGATGTTTTAACTTCAGATAGACTATCAAATATGGAACAAATAAAAAAACTTTATATCTCACAAAACATAAATATAATGGTGACAAACAGCACCCAGTACAACAGCATTACCCTGAAAGCATCACAATCCTGACTCTTAAAGCCTGGCTGAGCAGGGACGAAGAAGTAAGGTGCATAGCCGTGCATGTGGGCAAGTACACAGTGTCCCTCCATTGTCACACCATACATCCTAATGATAGGTACTGGCCCGCTCGTACATCCAGGCATACCTGGCATGTGTTTACCTGTAAACACAAAGCTTGATTTAGCCATTTGTAGTCTCTGTACACATCATAGTTCTTAATTACTACTGAAAATATATTTTCAATGTAGATCTGCAAACATAAGGACCAAAATAAAGAGGGAATATATATTCAGATTTTTACTTTTTTGACGTGCAATAAAATATCCTGTTTAACACAATGAGAATTTCGGTTACCATGTTTTGCTTAAAAAACAAATAAAAGACAAAAGCATGTTAATGGTAGCATACTTTTCGGTTACTGAAACAGGAAACCAAGCTCAAGATCTCTCACCAACATAATAATCCACATCCATCTGCTGAAAGGTCACACTGTCTTTTCGGGGGTCAAGAGTTGGAGCCAGAGGTCGAGACCACTTTGTACTGGTTGCCACATTGTCTGGACCATCACCTAAAACAAAACATGGAGGACTTGTAATGTTTCCAGTCAGACCTCGACTATGTAGGTGTAAACTTCTTTTATTAGAATTTCAACAAAATAATTAGAGGTGTGTATCGCAAGGGTTATGACGATCGATACGTATCACGATACATGGGTCACGATATGATACGTATCGCGATACTTGTCACAACTTTCTGTACAAATATGTTACTATAGTTTTTCTTAATTTGAAACTTTTAACCTTGATATGAAATAAATATAAAGTGTTTGTATACCATGCTCAATTTATTTGTTTTGAAATGTCATCTATCTCATAAATTGTAAAGCATTTCTTTTTTTGATTATCCTACATAAACACATTCATTCAGATGATGAATTATGTTGGGAAAACTGATCACACTAGCGCCTAATCGTTTATAATGGTAAGTTGGGTGTTGTCCCTTCGAGTAGGAGATCTGTTGACACCTGACCTGGTATGGGCAGAGCAGGTGCTGTCGGTAATATTAAATGTTGGTTTTACAAAAAATATGTTTTAAGAGAAACTTTGATCCTATTGATGGGGTACAATTTCAATTTTTCCTGAAATATACATCAGTTTTCCGAGTGTCTGCAAATCCAACTGGACCCGACAGCAATATTAGAGGAGTGAGTTTAGTTAAAGGCAGTCACTCACCAATCAGATATCAACGAGGACTGCTAACAGCTGAATTATGGCGACATAAAAACACCAAACTCTTAAGATTTCAGCTTTTCCTTCTTTTAGGAGATTGTTTTCAGTCCCTTCTAATTATCTTTTAAACTGTAATTGACATCATTGCCGATTCAAACCGTATTTATGTGTCCCTGTGAGTTCCTGCAAGTACTAAATATTTCTGAAAATGTCTGAATTATTGCCGATAAATGGTCGCAATACAGGACTGGTAACCAGTCTAAAAGAGCGGTAACTGGCCGTATATAACGTTTTTAAAGTAACGCGATACTATCGGCGAATGCCACGATGCATCGGCAATCAAGAAATGATACGATTCAACGATGCATCGTCGAATCGCTACACCGCTAAAAAATAATATAAAACCCATTGTTCTTTTAGACTCGAAAAAAGGATTCTTAAAAAGCCAGTCAACTTAATTTGTGCCTGTTCATCAACAGCAACATTGACTGAAAGATGTCTGCATGAGGAATGTTAAATTTGTTACACCTAGAACTTTGTGACAGTGATACACTAATAAGAACGCCCAGTGTTCAAACTTAACGGTACGTCAAAAGACAGTCGCTATAGAAAATGCTGTCTATTAATTGGCATTTATTTAGTTCATAGACCAAGCTTGTAGGGATCTTGTAAATATTTAGATATATGCATCTGTGTTTTTGTTACCTAAATTTTACAACAGCCTGTTCCTTTATGAATTGGGAAAATATAGCACTATTTGTATTAAAATCGGGAATAGATTCCTCATTTTTTTGATATTTTGAGAAAATAAGGCACTTTTTAGCTAAGGGAAACAGCCTGTATTTGGCAGAAAAACTGTGCATCATGAGAAAATGTATTGTCACAGCTCTAAAGGAAAGATTTTTCTGATACAACAACTATTTGTAAACTTTAACCTGCAACATCTGCCATGTCAACATCTCCCTTCATTTCATTTTCCATTTCATCAAACATTGCCAGCTCATCCTCAAAACCTGCTGGGTCCTCATCGTCAAAGTCATTTCTGAAATAGTTATATCTGTATTAGTATAATTTATTAAATCAATAATGTACAGCTCTATGCCGTCTCAGTTACATGATAAGTAAAAAAAATATGTATAGACTGTATCATCAAATGATAAAACACAGCACACATATACAAGCACAAGTCATACACATCCAAATGAAAACTACTGAGAGAACACAGCATATATACATACAAGTCATACACAGCTAAATAAACCATATTTTCTTGATAAATTATGAACTAAGATATGTTGAGAAAAGGATATTTTTTAATTACTTTTATTGCATAATGATTTTATTTCCTAAAATGAGTGGATGAATATTATCTGCATAATGAACTCAGTTGTGGAATTCATTAAAACAAAATTTTGGTTCCCAATTGGGTATTTTAAATGCACAAACTGTTTCTACTGGGAATTGAACTTAAACAGTACCCAATACACTCCCGGAAGTGCCAATATTGGTTTTTAACAATTATGATTTTGGTAATTTGTCCTGATCATTTCATATTTATAAGGCAAATTCAATTTAGCTATCACTTTTGACAGATTCAACAGTTGAATTTAAAACTATTTATATACAATTAAGACATACAACAATGTACCTGGCTTTCTTTGCGGGTGGTCCCAACTTTTTAGCATCCATTGTGTTTCTTTCTTTCCTATGCCATGTAATATACTGTAAAGGAAGAACAAAAGGTTCCTTTAAAATTTACTAAAGAACACTTGCACATAACTGTAAACCAGATATATTAATAAGTATAAATGTACTACAATATTAAGTATTTATACCGCACTAAAATAAGTACCGTGCATGCGCATTGTATTATATTGTTAAATACAATTGAAAAAATATATATATAAAACATTGATTATAATTTAGTTTCATCTAAAACTACTGCCTAAAAATATTTGATATTTACGAATAAAAAATATCATGCTTTTATGGCAGGTTTTAATTGTACATAGGATTTAGGTTGCCTTAGCTTCTAGCTTCGAGTTAGAGGGAATTTCCCTTTAGCCCAGCTAGGAACCTGGAGATCGAGGGTGGAAGCACACTATTCTTTCCTGTTACAAATGGTGTCCGTGGCCCTCCCTGTGGTGACAGGGAGTTAGAATCTGGGTTGTGGTGTACGAGGACGAACACATTTAATAAAACCAATAGCTTGCAGTTTACGCCTTAGATAAAAGGGGGGGGGGGGGGGGGGGGGGGGGNTTTAATTGTACATAGGATTACCGGTAAGGTCGCCTTCTAATTTAGAGTTAGAGGGAAGTTCCCTTTAGCTCAGTGGTAGAGCGTCCAACTAGGAACCTGGAGTAATCGAGGGTTTGATTCCTGGTGGAAGCACCCTTTTCTCTTTCCTGTTACACTTTAATCTTTAAAATGAATTAATTTGAGAGCATATCACACATGCAATAAATTCATAACAACACATCAACAGGTCAATGTCCCAATTTGCAATGAGTCAGCTGTATTATTGTTATTTCATTTCACACCTTTGGCTATTAAAAAGGGTCAAAGTCATAGTTTACCAAATGCAAGACACAGTTTGTGACATGCTTCTTATGGTGAAACAAGAGCTTGTATACGTAACAGCCACCAACCCACTGTTACATACAAAAGGTCAAGACTGGATTTGAACCCACAACCTCCGAACTCAAGATGATTGCATGTTCAAAAAATAACCAATTGAGCTACGTCACCCAGCTGAGTCCTGTTTAAAAACTCCCTCCTTTTTTAAGCCTTTGGCCCTAAGGCTGAAGACAACGTTATTTCATTAACAACCCCAGGTTTGGGTATCCCAAAGAGGAAGAAAATGGACCAGGCTAAGATGTTAACTAAACTTCCGGGACCAATCCAAACTCATTCTTAACCTGTTCTGAAGTGGCCTAGCTGCTTCACTCCAAAAATACAATGTCCGATTCTTTTTGGGCGAGAACTCTTTGTGTTCAGGTGTACACATACGAAGATGTCAAACTAATGCTGGTATGTTATCAGTTTCTTCTTGCCCTGAAACATTTAAATTTACAAGCTGATATATAACGACCCCATATTTTATTTAATATTATCTGTTTTACTATTTTTTGGTTGGATCGGACCATGACTGTGAAAATACCCACTATCCTGGGTCCTTTGCTACTACAGTTTAGTGTGTGTAAGCTAATCATGTGCAAGCTGTACGTTGCTGAGAAATAAAGTGAAAATGAAACCTACATGTTTCTCTTTTAAATTGGACCTTTTTTTGCCTAGAAAGTCTAGATATTGTGAGGAAAACGGCAAAATATACATCATTTGATCTCAACTATCTTAATAACAAAATTACATTAGCAGCTGACTTAGTTATCCAGTATGTCAAATGAAGTAAAAATATTTTGCTTACCTTAGCTTTCAACTTACGTATTTTCCTGAAAACGCGGGAGTGAGAAACTCTCGTGTTGTCTCGCGTTACTATATGAATCGTTAAGTATACATTAGTACAGAGATAGAACTTTTGCATATTCTTTCATTGATTTATGAGCTAATTTTTCATAGTTGTTATATATGGCACCATTTTAACCATTTACCACATATGTATAATATCGGGGAAAGGACAGCATTCGGGGACCTTTTACGTGTTTGAGGTCAACTTCCGGTTGTACTTTCACTTTCTAGGCAACTGAACTATCTGTTGACGTGTGAAATATCTTGGAGCTAAAATGGCACTAGATACCTTTGATGTAGCCGAATTCCAAAAGCATTTGACTGCAAATGAATTTGGAAAGAAATTCACATATAAAGATATAACAGAGACAACGATGGATGATGCATTGAAGGCTGCAAATGAAGGCAAATAATTTATCATTAGTCTGTTAGTATGACTCGTGTACTGTCGCCCATATTAGTTTTGTCTTATGTGTATAGATATTTTTAACCGAAAATTGTTAGTAGATTGGCATTGCTATCATTGTCATATGGTGTGTTTTATTATACAGCTAAGGAATTTGAGGGGGAAATACTGCCTGCTAATGTCAGGCAAGCTTAAAACATGTAGGTTTTCCAGCGATGCAGTAATTAACCCGGGGACCCGCTCACTATATAGTTCAGCAAAATCGAGTTTGGCCAGTAGCTGGATGGGTGATCAACCGCACGTACATTTGGTGGCAGCTTATAGTGACCCTGCTGTATCATGTAAGGCCAGTTCTCAGACAGACCCAGTGGTATTGGAAGGTGCATTGGGGGGACTTCGACACAGGATTCCCCAGGCCAAGACTCAGGATGATACTTCTCTGAGTGGAAATAATGTAATAATAAAAAAGCTGAGGTAAACCAGGATTTAAACCTGGGTCAGTGGGACCTCCAAACTCTTAAGACAGATGCTCTAACCAATCAAGCTACCTCAGCACTGAGGTCACACAATCGACCCTGTGAGTCCAATTCCACTATACACATCGATATATAGATTAATTCATTGTATATATATATATATATAGTAGGTTTTAACAACGCTCTTATCAGCTCTTATAATATAATGCAATATACTAAAAATTTCAATTTACCGGGGTAGTATTATTTAGATCTCAAAAGCAAATTTCTACACCTGACTTATACTTCAGATGCATCTGCTTGAAAACTATTCCACATGTTAACAGTTCTTTGTGCTTTTGAAAGGTTCTGAACATTAGTGGATGATTGAACCCAGTGTTAAATAGTCAAATGGAGTTTGACAAGGTTCATATATCTCGGAAAGGATTGGCATAGCTCTATCATGTCACCTCTTAAATCGGCTGAGGGCCATGAACGGTAAATTTAGATTCTGCTTTATTTAAAAGCTCTTGATTGAATGGACTTGAAACTTCAATGACCTAAATTAAAAGAGCTCATATGGATCCTACATGTATTGTGAATCTTTTTCGTTAGAATATCACACACGACACTTCATCTTATGTAATTTTAAATTTAAAACAGGAGCACCTAACGGGACTGCCATTATGGCTGAGCAACAATCTAAAGCTAGAGGAATGAAGAATCGTAAGTGGAATGCACAGTACACTGGAAACATATACATCTCCTATGTCTACCACAGAGAGGCTGTTTTTGAGGTATCATATACATATATCTTTTCTTAACAATATGTATTTTTCCAAAATTGGTTCATGTTACTTGAAAATGTCATGGATAAAAAATAACTTGATTATAACTCATGAATCTTATAAATGGTGTTTGTAATTTTTTTTTTTTAAATCAGTCGTTAGAAATTGCTCTACAAATCTCAAATCATAGAGTTTAACAATGCATCTAAAATAACATATAAAAGTTGGTTCAAAACATTTTTATGTGTGTTGTGATACTGTGAAGAATAAAGGATTCTTAATGTTTGAAATCCTTCAGTCACGTTTTCATGTTTTAGGCTACTAGAAAAGCTGTTTTAAGGACAATATATCAATGTGTTTGAGCTATTTTTGAATAGGGAAGTTATCTGTAGAAAATCAGACCACTTTAAACCAGAGTGGAATTTCAAAATATGGACCAATAACAAGCACCTGTGTTACCTAAAGGCCATGTCACACCGAGCCGCGAGTGCACAGCGTTGTTAAATTTCACAGAGCGCCGTGAGATCGCAGTAAAAATTGATATTTTTCATGAAGATGTCGATGTCACAGCATTCTCACGGCGACCTTGGCGTTTCTACGGAGCTCCATGGCGTTCTTCCACGTTCCTACAGAGTTCTAGGTAGCAGTGAACAGTAGAAATGGCCCGACTCTGATAAACAAGGCACATGTCGAGGAAATGTAAACACAGCGGATTTACCCTACACAACACATGTATACATGTATATATATTTGTAAACTGCATTACATTTACAATACATATAAAGTACTGAGAAGTGTATAAACCTCTTTCTTCTATGTATGTCACTTGTGTGAAAACCATGGTTACATCAAAAAATGCCAAAAATTACTATTTTTAACCCAAAATTTGACCCCGCAACTAGTAATTTTTTTCCTAAGCTCTGTCTGAAATTAAAGATTACCTTCCTGGTTGCAGAATTATCTGGGTCCCAGTAAAGTTGTAAAACTTGCTTTTTTGCAATTTTGCGTCGTGTGCTGTTGTCAAAATTGTACCTCCTGTAAAGCTAGCTTTTCATGTGTACGCACCCCTTCGTATTATGGCCAAAATTTTATTCTCGAACCAAAGAAATCTTCTTTCTTTTTTACAAATGTGAAGCTCACATAGCCCACTTCATCATGCTTATACCAATTTTAGTACAGTTTTATTTTTATATTTTTTTTACATATCATTATACAGGGGTTAGCCATTTAACAAAATTATCACCCATGGCCACAACCCTCTACTGTATACTGCTACCCTAGTTGGCGATTGTCTGCACTCTAATGGCGCTCTCACGGTGCCTCCACTGCGTGCATCAAGTTGTCACGGCGCTGTATAAGCGCAGTAGAGACGCAGTGTCATCTCAGAGAACGCCATGCAAGCGCCACCGATAACCATTGCACTACGACCTCTGTGCGCGCCTGCAGCGATCCTGTGGCGCTGCTATGGCGACCTCACGGCAATCCCACTGCGCTCTTATCAGAACGCCAAGCGACGGCGTTTTTTTGGGCATGCTCAAAGTGCGCGCCGTCGCTCCGCGTTCTATGCGATCCCACCGCGTTCACTGGCGATGCTTGCGATTCCACTGCACGCAGATTGGCGTTCTGCATTTTTCTTGGACGCCCTGGCATTGCAGCCCTAGTATTACAGGGCTTTTACACACACCTGTCTGCCTTCACAGATAAGGAGATACTTTAGGAGAACACACAGTAACAAACACTTGAGCAGAGACGCTCAAACACTGCACTCCTTACTGTGTTGAATATAATGTCTTGCTAGAACAATGTTCTGGAGATTACATTGGGCACTAGAAAAAAAATCAAAATAGTATCAGGGTTAGACACAAACCTTTTTTTGCTTGTTATTCCACAGGACTAGTTAACTAGATTATTTACTAGTCCTACGTCAATGTAATGAGTCCAAGATTTCCTGATAAGGAAACATCTCGATCTACAGCACGAAACATCAAGTAATCGACTGTAGGGGACTTAAAATAACTACTGCCATAGAAATATGGTTTAAGGAAAAAAATTAGGATTGTTTTTACAATTTTCATGAAATACATCTTATTTTAAGCAGTTTTCTAAAATTTTAAAAGGAATATCTTTATCATTATAATATTTTTCACAAGTCAAAAGGACCATTACGGTTGGGTGTTTCACTAGTCCTTGCTGAAATCTACTAGTCCAGGACTAGTGTTAGTGTCGAATCTTGAGTATCCTTTTGACTTTTCCAGATCTATACAAATTTATAATGCTGTCCATTGACAAATGAAATTTTGTATTTTATAGACACACAATACTTGTGAAAAATATTGTTAAAAGAAATTCTTCCATGGCAGTCCAACATGCAGATGACATGAACCTGATGTTTTCAGGATCCAAGGAAGGATGAAAATATGATGGAGGTCGCAGGAGCACTGGCTGTTTATATGACACTTGCTGACTTGGGTGTGGAGGGTATCAACATCAAATGGCTGAATGATATCTGGGTCAGAGGTCATAAGATGGCAGGAATATTGGTAGAGGATAAAGGACCTTTACCTTGTAAGTATAGGTCTACAGTGATTGTGCTTTTAGTTTGGAAGATACAGGAATGTTACAATGTAGGTACTGTATACTGGGATTTATTTACTGTCGCACTATTTACTGATGTTGCTCAGTAAGTGAAAGTTAAGTTTTTGTGATTTAAAATTTTGTGATTTTCCCGAGGTTGGAGTCTAATATATGATAACTTGATAAGTGTATAGATTTAATCTTCAAATTTACCTGGTGTCATGAAAACTGCTCACCACCTATAAGATGTGATGTATGTATCTGTTGTGCCTTTAATCATTTAAATGACCTTGACCTACTTTCAAGGTCACAGGGGTCAAATATGTTAAAAATTTCAAACAACAATATCATAAGAACAATTCGGACTAGAGTCATGATACTGGGGTATGTTATGTAGACCAGCAGTGCTAATCTTTTTCTTACAGTAATGAGGTTAAATGTCAACTTTTAGTGCTAGTCGGGGGTCAAAGGTCAACATGGGTTAAAAGCTTTAACATTCCTCTTCTCAAGTTCCATAAGGCCTAGGGGCATGATATTTGGCCAGTAGGTACCTGGGATGGAATGCTATAGACTTTCCTCATTAAAATGACCTTGATCTACTTTCAAGGTCGCAGGGGTCAGATATGTTAAAAACTTCAAATAACAATATCTTAAGAACCATTAGGTCATGATACCCGGGTATGTTATGTAGACCAGCTGTGTAAATTGTTTTCTTTATTACAGTAATGAGGTCAAAGGTCAACGTTAAGTGCTAGCTGGAGTCAAAGGTTAACGTGGATTAAAAGCTTTAAAATTAAAATTTCACAAATTTCAAACAACAATATCTTCAGAACCGTTGAAGAGATGTTAAAATGTCTTGTGTTCTAGTTACCAAATTTAGTCTGAAGTTACCTGTACTGCAAGTATGTTAGTTTCATGTAACAAAAGAAAAAGGTGAGCGATACAGGCCCTCTGGGCCTCTTGTTTAATGTTTGGTTGTTTCACCATTTGCATTTTTTCTTTATGAAGCAGTTAAAAGTTTCATGCCACTTTTTGAAGAAAAGTTTACCAAAGTTTCCTTTTATTTCCCAACCAGTTGATAAAACAAAGCGTTTGTGTATCGTTGGTATTGGTGTGAATGTGAATGCTGATGTGCGTCGACACCCTGAGCTACACACGATATCTACCAGTGCCCGTAGTCAGCTGAACGGCAGTATTGTGAACCGAGAGCACTTCCTGGCAAAAATGAGCAAGTACCTAGAGGAGTGCATGTCCCTGACACAGGAGGACTTGTTCCAGAATGCCATCAAATATCAACTGTTCCAGCTCAATGAGCCAGTCAGGATTCACAGTATGTTAAATCAAAAAGTGACTGATGGAACCCTGGTGGAATTTCTCGACAACTGGTCAATCAAACTAAAAGGTATCACAGAACTTTATATACTAATGAAGTTATCAGTGGCTACATTGATTGAAAAGAAAAAGAAAACAAGACTTTGATGTTAAGTTGTAATTGCATAGTTAGGTGAATGCTTATTTAAGTGGAATGATGATAAGTTATGTTGGAAAATCCAAGAGTGAATACACTTAGTAAAATTGACTCTTAATGCATAAAAATGTGTACTGGGTATCAGTACTTCAAATTCAAGTTTCAAAATACAAATGTAAACTATTAACAAGGTAAAGAAACATTAACAAGACATGATGTAATGTAATTTACATGTAAGCAACATGTTGATAACAGTCACAGGATCACCACAGCACAAAACCAAATTACAAAATGAGGGCATTGAGAGCAAGTGTATCTATGTAAACTTCTATAACATTTTTTACCTGAATATTTTAATAAGTAATTTATTAGGCAGATCTGTACACAAACATTATGGAATTTGGCCTGTTAACTGTTTCATTTCTGTGCACTAAATTCTTTAAATATCCTTAAATTTAAAATTGCACAGCAGCTGCAAATTAACGTTCTATCGTCTGATTGGTCAATCGGTTTCTGTGAAAAAACTGTTCATTAAATATCATCATATTTTACACTTATAAAAATATCCTGGTTAAAATAAAAAGCACTGACACAATAATCAAAGAATCTGTTTACTTGCTATATGTTGTATACAGATGAGAGTGGTGAGGTATGGACAGCAATGTCTGACCACTATTCCATCCGACCATGTGCGACCTCTACAGTGTATGTATACAACGGGAAGATGGCATGTCCCTGGAGCTCAGTAGCCATGCTGAAGTGTCTGTCTTCCCTTGTAAACATCACTCACACAACCATCTCCCTGCTCAATGACACCAAACTGAAGGAAGGTCAGTCCAGTATGGTTTTGTATACATAATGGCCTCCGATTTGTTACAAGGTTTTTTGTTCAGACCACTGTAGACATATTGATGTTATTGTATTTGAACAGGAAAATTTATTCTGATCATTCTATTTCGGTCAACCGACTGCCTCTATCAGGAGTTAAAATTGCGGGATCATCATGTGATGTACCTGTCAAATGTTTATACACGCACTGTTAATTTGTTTGTAAACAAACATTAGGCCTAGAAGTGTAAACAATACAAACTGTACATGTACAAAGAAACTATATTGTTTACATCAAGAGCCGAAAGTAGAAAATACTGAGCAAAAAAATGTGTTATTTTTCTCTCTTTCTTTGTACACCGAAACAGACTTGTATAATGTAATTAATCCTTCATTAATTATATTTTAACCACCAGGGCGATATCGATGTCAAAAATAAAAAGGTATTTTTCCCATCCCCCCCCCCCCCCCCCCCAANTAAAATTGAGGTTTATGCTGTATACCTAATACAACATTTGAAGGATAATTAATGGAAATACCTTAACACCATTTCACTTCTCTGTTTGTGAACATTTCCTTCACACACCCCTCAAATTGCCAACTCAAATATAATGTCAAAACTTCATTTAAAATTGGTGGCAGTATAACAAGGATTTACTGTATTATATTGAAAATATAAGGAAGTCTTTGTGGTTACAGGACTGTGGAAAAAAGATGCTGCTTTATTGGTCATTGGAGAGGTTTCCATGGATACTCAAGATATCGACTCTGCTCATCAATCATTTACAGATATACTGAACTTCATAGAAAATGGTGGAGTAGTGATGATGATGGGAAATGTGTCCGGATTTTTTACCTCCTACCTACAGTCTGGGTCATCTACAGGTATACTCACGTTGTTTACCTCCTACCTACAGTCTGGGTTATCTACAGGTATACCCTTGTTGTTTACCTCCTACCTACAGTCTGGGTTATCTACAGGTATACCCTTGTTGTTTACCTCCTACCTACAGTCTGGGTTATCTACAGGTATACCCTTGTTGTTTACCTCCTACCTACAGTCTGGGTCCTATACAGGCATACCCTCGTTGTTTACCTCCTACATACAGTCTGGGTCATCTACAGGAAAAATCTTGTTGTTTACCTCCTACCTACAGTCTTGGTCATCTACAGGTATACCCTCGTTGTTTTCCTCCTACCTACAGTCTGAGTAATCCTCAGGTATATCGTCGTTGTTAACCTTCTACCTACAGTCTGGGACATCTACAGGTAAAATCTTGTTGTTTACCTCCTACCTACAGTCTGGGTCATCTACAGGAAAAATCTTGTTGTTTACCTCCTACCTACAATCTGAGTAATCCTCAGGTATATCCTCGTTGTTAACCTTCTACCTACAGTCTGGGTCATCTACAGGTATACCCTCGTTGTTTTCCTCCTATCTACAGTCTGAGTAATCCTCAGGTATATCCTCGTTGTTAACCTTCTACCTACAGTCTGGGTCATCTACAGGTAAAATCTTGTTGTTTACCTCCTACCTACAATCTGAGTAATCCTCAGGTATATCCTCGTTGTTTACCTCCTACCTACAGTCTGGGTCATCTACAGATATACTCTCGTTGTTTACCTCCTATATACCTACAGTCTGGGTCATCTACAGGTATACCCTCGTTGTTTTCCTCCTACCTACAGTCTGAGTAATCCTCAGGTATATCCTCGTTGTTAACCTCCTACATACAGTCTGGGTCATCTACAGGAAAAATCTTGTTGTTTACCTCCTACCTACAGTCTGGGTATCCACAGGTATACCCTCGTTGTTTACCTCCTATCTACAGTCTGGGTCGTCTACAGGTATACTCTCGTTGTTTACCTCCTACCTACAGTCTGGGTCGTCTACAGGTATACTCTCGTTGTTTACCTCCTACCTACAGTCTGGGTCATCTACAGGTAAAATCTTGTTGTTTACCTCCTACCTACAGTCTTGGTCATCTACAGGTATACCCTCGTTGTTTACCTCCTACCTACAGTCGGGGTCATCTACAGGTAAAATCTTATTGTTTACCTCCTCCCTATAGTCTGGGTCATCTACAGGTAAAATCTTCTTGTTTACCTCCTACCTACAGTCTGGGTCATCTCCAGGTAAAATCTTATTGTTTACCTCCTTCCTACAGTCTGGGTCATCTACAAGTATACTCTCGTTTTTTACCTCCTACCTACAGTCTGGGTCATGTACAGGTATACCCTTGTTGTTTACCTCCTACCTACAGTCTGGGCCATGTACAGGTATACCCTTGTTGTTTACCTCCTACCTACAGTCTTGGTCATCTACAGGTATTCCCTCGTTGTTTACCTCCTACCTACAGTCAGGGCCATCTACAGATATACTCTCGTTGTTTACCTCCTACCTATAGTCTGGGTCATCTACCGGTAAAATCTTGTTGTTTACCTCCTACCTATAGTCTGGGTCATCTACCGGTAAAATCTTGTTGTTTACCTCCTACCTATAGTCTGGGTCATCTACATGTAAAATCTTGTTGTTTACCTCCTACCTATAGTCTGGGTCATCTACCGGTAAAATCTTGTTGTTTACCTCCTACCTACAATCTGAGTAATCCTCAGGTATATCCTCGTTGTTAACCTCCTACATACAGTCTGGGTCATCTACAGGAAAAATCTTGTTGTTTACCTCCTACCTATAGTCTGGGTCATCTACAGGTAAAATCTTATTGTTTCCCTCCTACCTACAGTCTGGGTCCTCTACAGGGATACCCTCTTTGTTTACCTCCTACCGACAGTCTGGGTCATGTACAGGTATACCCTTGTTGTTTACCTCCTACCTACAGTCTGGTCATCTACAAGTATACTCTCGTTGTTTGCCTCCTACCTACAGTCTGGGCCATCTACAGGTAAAATCTTATTGTTTCCCTCCTACCTACAGTCTGGGTCCTCTACAGGTAAAATCTTATTGTTTACCTCCTTCCTACAGTCTGGGTCATCTACAAGTATACTCTCGTTTTTTACCTCCTACCTACAGTCTGGGTCATGTACAGGTATACCCTTGTTGTTTACCTCCTACCTACAGTCTTGGTCATCTACAGGTATTCCCTCGTTGTTTACCTCCTACCTACAGTCAGGGCCATCTACAGATATACTCTCGTTGTTTATCTCCTATATACCTACAGTCTGGGTCATCTACAGGTATACTCTCGTTGTTTACCTCCTGCCTACAGTCTGGGTCATCTACAGGTAAAATCTTCTTGTTTACCTCCTACCTACAGTCTGGGTCCTCTACACGTATACCCTCGTTGTTTACCTCCTACCTACACTCTGGGTCATCTACAAGTATACTCTCGTTGTTTACCTCCTACCTACAGTCTGGGTCATCTACAGGTATACTGATTCTCATTGATTAAACAACAAAGTTACAGCCAGGATTCCTTATTGACCACAAGCTTACTGTTAAGGAAATAGACTAGTATTAATATATCAATATGGTCGGCTATAAACCAGAGGCGTAGGTTCATTACCCATATACATGCAGTAACTAGTCATGAGCAAACAACCGCTTCATAAAACACAGGAAGCCCTATAGTCTTAATATATTGTCAGTAGCTAGGCATTTGCTACAAAGGTCACAAAAATAAATTTCCTTGACCTATATTCAAGCTCATGGGGGTCGAAACTGTAAAACCACAATTTGAAAATGAAATGAGTCGTGATATTTGGCCAGTAGAAAGCTGAAATGAAGTGCTATGAAGTTTGCAAAAAGAAATACCACTTAAATCAGGTGAGCTAGACAAATTGGACCTCTTGTTAAGATTATAAGCTCCAGCATTTCATCATCAAGGACAAAATTTACTGAAAATGATATCTTAATTTCAGAAACCACCTGTAGCTTGCAGCCAACGCATGGAGGATCTGCCGATACTGCTGTGCCAGGTCGCTTGGTTAGCCTGAACTTGAAGTGTGGAGACCTTGGTCAGGTATTCGGGTACAGTATCAACAAGGAAAATATCACATTCCAGGAAACAACAGGACAGTCCCCAGAAGTTCTTGCTTGCTATGGAAATGGTGAGGCAGCTGTGCTTGTTTCTACATATGGCAAGGGCTCCTGTGTGTTGATAGGTTTCAATGCTGAGATAACTTACACGGAAGACTGTGTTAGCTTGTCGGATGCAGAGCTGAATAGCCTGCGAGACACTGTGTTTGTAAGGGACGAACTTATGCTCTGTATCCTTAAAAGGTTTGGATTGTGATTGCTTTGACTATGCATCTCTTCCAAACATTCACAAAGATCGGCTTAACCAATTCTAAATTCCTATTAGTATATAAGAACCTTGCCTTAAAAAATCTAGTGAGTTTCAATATGAATAGCTGATGATGTTATATGATACTGCTTTGATTTGGCTTATCCGAGGACTGATATATATTTTTGGTGAATTGACCTTTTTATCATTCTTCACTTGATGTTTCATTTTTTTTAACAAAACATCCCAAATGCCAAGTGTACAGGTACGATCAAATCTTTTACACTGAATATATTGTCAGTGAACTTAGAAAGGTTGAGACTTAAGTTGAACGATGAACATTTATTTCAAGTTTCTTGACATTCGGATAATTTAAGTCTCTCTCTTTAGAATTTGTAGAAATAGTAACCTTGTTTTTGACCCCTGATATGGCAAACTTGTACAATAGATTATGTTTGTGAACATGTACTTAAAAGTTTCATAACAACAGCATTAAAAGTTTAATAACAACAGCATTAAAAGTTTCATAACAACAGCATTAAAAGTTTCATAACAACAGCATTTAAACTAAAAATAAACTTTGAATGAGAACTTCTGTAGAGCAATGGCGCAGAAATTCTATTTTTACTACCAGACCTTGTTTTAAGCACAAGAAGACTGAACCACAAAATCTTACTAGAGAATTTTTTTGTTAACGCGTACAGAGTTTCCAGAGAATAGGATCTGAATTCTTTAGAGCAATGACACCAAATTCCATGTTTACAGTTGTCAGAGTGATCTTGTCTTTCACCCCGAACCTCAGAAAGCAAACCTGTGCAAGATTTGATGTTTGTGAACACATGTATTGAAGTTTCATAACATTTGGAAAAGAGATTAAGTTGTAGAGGAATGATGCAAAAACTCTGTTTATAGTAACAACAAATGAAATCTTGAGTGATGACATTATACTGTACTGTAATAATTACCTTGGTATATTAGAAATGTATGGCGTCATCCTTTTCTTATTGTATGTTGCTACACTTACACTATCTAAAAACAGGAGGAAAACGTTCAGATTTGAAGAATTTCCTGCAGAAAATCAGTAAATTTATATCTCAAAGGAGAATTTTAAGAGACGGGCGAATTTTTTCTCCAGATAAAATTTACTAAAAAAAATCAGTTAAGTCTTTGGTTTGGTAGATTGGTTCCTGCTTGTAGTTGTTCTACCTCAATTTAACTATAGCCTGCTTGAATTTGAAAATAAAGTGGGGGTTTTTTATCAAAATTTGGGAGATATTCCTCAATTTTACTTCATTTTTGTCTCTCAAGCAGGTTTGACTGTACCTTAATGGAAACAGTATCTTAATTTGTTTAACGTAATTATGAAAACTAGAGTACATTAACACTGTTTGTTTTTATCTCCTGTGGTACATGCTTGACGGCCATCTTGGTATTTTGATCAGTCCCAAAATTAGATGTCTTCTTGTAAAATCAAAGAAAGGTCCCTCAAGCACTTTTTGAGAAATAATGCCACCTGTTGGTCTTGTTTTCATATCAATCCCAAAATTTGATATGCTAGCAACGGACCATGGGAAAACTAATTCCTGTTAAATTTTAGGAAATTTCTTCTACTTTCTTTGAAATGCTACTAAAAAAAAAAAATTTCTCAAAATTCAAGATGGCCACCTATTGGCCATCTTGGTTTTCATAAAATGAGTCCCATAATTAATATGCGTAACAAGGGTCCATAGGAAAACTTTACATTTAATTTTAGGAAGTCCCTCAAGCACATTCTGCGAAATAGTGCTAACAAACTTTTACTCACAAAAATTGAGATGGCCACCTGTCAGCCATCTGCATATTCATATCAGTCCCAAATTTGATATACATCATGAGGGAACATGGGAAAACCTCATGTAAAATTTTAGGAAGTTCCCTCAAATACTTCAAAATTTCACCATCTTGGTTTCCGTTCAGTCAAATAATTTGATATGCGTGACTAGAGTCACCATGAGAAATTTCAAGAGATACTGATATTTGAAAAAGATCCCTCTAGTACTTTCTGAGAAATAGTGCTAACAAGTTGTTTAATGATGTACTGAGGAGACCACGGACGAAGGGTTGTTTGATTAATAGCCCACCATCATCAGATGGTAGGTTAAAAATATAAATAAGGTGCCCGTATCACTCACCTGGATATTTAATCAATCATGTCAAAATAATACTATTACAAATATTTCCCCCATTTCAGTTTCTACTTCTCAATACCAAGTGGTTAGATTCATTTTAGCTCATCATCATCATCAAATGGTGGGCTATTCAATCGCCCTTCATCCATCCTTAAACAAGTCCTTTTAATGCTTCACATGTAAGTTCCCCCTGATCCCTAGTTGTGCGTGTTAACTTTTAAGACTGATCGAAAACACAAAATGGCCAACCAGTGGCCATCTTTGATTTTGACCGTTAAGGTTTGTTATCCCTCTTCCTCAGAAAGTACCAGAGGGATCTTTCTCTTTAATATGAAGGTTGGTATAAACCTGTGAATTTTAACTGTCGGGACCGATCAGAAAAACAAAATGGCCAACAGGCTGCCATCTTGGATTTTGACAGGTAAGATTTGTTATCTGTATTTCTCAGAAAGTACTTGAGAGATCTTGTCTCATATTTGATATGTATGTTCCCCTTGCTAACAATTCCCCTGGCCCTTATGAGAAATTTTCCCTCATTGACAGATATTCTAATTAAGAAGGGTCAGATCCTGACAGAATGGCTCTTATTTTCTTTATGGCCAGTCATTGTATATATGGTAATTATATGGAAATCTCAACCGATTCTATATTATCACCCAGCATCTAATTCTCGAGGCTGGGATTGGACCTAGGAGTCAACTATGGTAGCATATACTAGATGCGTCTTTATACCTATGTTTGTGTGCCGTTTTATATCGGGGATCAGTATTGTTTTTTTAATATCAAATTTCCTCTACATATTTGGGCCCTGCCCCTTCAGCCCCAGGGGTCACACCATATAGATGTTCATCTTGCTCTATTGACATTTCAAACAAAATACAACATGTATGGTAAAAAATACAGACTTTAGGCACCTGGACCACTTTGGCCTCAGGGCAATAACATCCCTTGTTTACAAATGTACATGTATATGTTGAGTTTCCTTGGATCAAGAAAGTACTTTACCAGAGCTGCTGGATCTTCTAGATTTACATTTACACACATAGGGAGATATTAGCCAGGTGGCATAGTACTAGTAGTTAGTGGATAAGGCAGCTCCTGTGAATTCCTCAAAAATTGTTTTGATTTATGTATATGCTAATTGTATATCTATGTACTGTAAAGTGCTTTAGAGTGGCTTATGTTAGCTAGATAGTGAAGGGCAACTTTTGAGACTGATCGGATAAACAACATGGCCGACAGGTAGCCATCTTGGATTTTGATAGTGAAAGTTTGTTATTAGTATTTCTCAAGAAGTACCAGAGGGACCTTTCTCAAATTTTATATGTAGGTTCCCCTTGGTCCTTAGCTGTGCAGAGCAACTTTTTAGACTGATCGGATAAACAATATGGCCGACAGGCAGCCATCTTGGATTTTGATAGTGAAAGTTTGTTATCGCTATTTCTCAGGAAGTACGAGAGGGATCTTTCTCAAATTTTATATGTAGGTTCCCCTTGGTCCTTAGCTGTGCAGGGCAACCTTTGAGACTGATCGGATAAACAACATGGCCGACAGGCAGCCATCTTGGATTTTGATAGTGAAAGTTTGTTATCGCTATTTCTCGAGAAGTACGGGAGGGATCTTTCTCAAATTTTATATGTAGGTTCCCCTTGTTCCCTTGTTGTGCAGGGCAACCTTTGAGACTGATCGGATAAACAACATGGCCGACAGGCAGCCATCTTTGATTTTGATAGTGAAAGTTTGTTATCGCTATTTCTCNTGGGAAGTACCAAAGGGATCTTTCTCAAATTTGATATGTAAGTTCCCCTTGTTCCCTTTTTGTGCAGCAGTGCCTGAAATGGATGGATGCCTGCTCGCCAATGGAGGTTAAAGTCTTGCTCGAGCGACCAAAAGTTGTCAAAAGTGAGGTAGTCACTGGCCCAACAAAATAGTTTGGGCGACTGTCAAAAAATTAATGAATAAAAGAAACTATAAAACCTTCCACACTAACTGGGGGGCAGTACATTTTTCTGTTGTCATTACTTCGATATGAGGAAAGAAGAGTAAAGATCGAACTGACAAAGAACTAATGAAGATGGTACAATGGTTGGCGCCAAGATCCCTCTGGAATCTCCTGTTTTTAATTCCCCCTACTTCTACAACATTTAATCCCATTGGCTAAGGATGCTCCAGATAAACATTTTTGGTTCAAATCCCTCCATCTATGTAGAAGGGGGATTTTGAAGATGAACTTCTATTTCCCCTATTTGGTTCCACCCCTTCCATCTATACAACATTGTCTGAATTGCAATCGCCCCTGTCCAAATTTGGTTTAACCCTTTCACCCCTAGGTAACTTTAGTAGACTCTGCCATTCATTCAGCTGGATGAGTCAATTATGGTTTGCAGTGGTGGAAGGGTTAAACCCCTTTATCTGACTAACTTGTGGGGCCTTGCCATTGCTCACATGGGTGGGTGCCACACTATTTATAAAACAGAGTCCACATTGCCCTGCAACCAAATTTGGTTTAATCCCTTCATTCAAACACAAGGAGAAGGATTTTAAAAATTTACCTCTATATTTCCCCTATTGGACCATGTCCTCATGGGACCACACCTACTGCTTATGCAACATCTCGAGTCTGGAGTAATTTTTGCCTAATAATGATCCAGGTCAAAATTTTGCTAAATCCTTTGAGGATTTTAAGGATTTATCTTGATTCCCCCTACTAAGTCCCACCTCTCTGTGACGTCAAAGTGTTACAACCCAATGTGGCCACAACTACTGACACAACATTGAGCCCCCTTGGCCCAAGGATTCTCCAGATCAAATCAATATAGGCCTCGTCCCTCTGCCCTAGAAGTTGGGATACGCACCCTGATTATACAATGCTGAATACCCTTGGCCCAAGGATGCTCCATCATAATACAAAAGTCAAACCGAAGTTAGTGAAATTGAAATATAGGTCACAGTGACCTACATTTGCTATATCTACAAATGAAGTTTGATATGACTGCTTCGGACTAGCTACATGATAAATACATAACTATGTTGATAGTTTTAACAATTTATTTCAGTTTAATTTGTAGTTGTGCATCAGATTTCAACAGAGTTGAACAAAGAGACAAACATAAAAATGAATAATGGAGATATTACAATGTCTCAACTCTCAAGTGTAATCACTTACAGGTTGTAGATTATACAATGATGTCAGAATGTGACATCTCCAGCCCGACAGCTACATAAAGTAGGTCATAAAATGACATAACAGTGTGACATGTGACTATCACTAAGGTCATGTAGTAACATCACAGAATCACACTAGGATATCAAAATGTGACAACCATTAGGTCACCTTTGGTCATCACAATTTGAAAACCTCTTAGTTCAAAGAGTGGCATCAACTCATTCACCCCTGAAGACGCTTTTGAACTCTTCCAATTCATAGGTTGGAATAGTTCATTATGAAATTTCAGGGTGAATGAGTTAAAATGTGACCATATTTTAGGTTTTTGTAATAAAGCAAGAATCCATCAGGTGACAACACTTAAATTACTCTTCTGCTTATGGTAATCCCTAGAAAACTCTTGTTACATATGTTTAAAAAAATCCTGGATTACCACAAAATTAGGAAGATGGTAACACTGCTGATTTACATGTATGAAACATTTTATGTTATGTAAAGATGAATCACAAAACCGGTTAAGTTAACAGACTTCTGAGAAGGAAGACTCTCATGCCTATTTAAAATAACTATAAAGTTTGTAATTTTGAATCGAATTTGAAACAAAAAAGCACATGTTGCAGAAAATAGGACTGAATAATTGAGTAAGAAAATGTTACCTAAACTACCGAATTATCATACTCTGATAAAATTCAAGATCTAAAAAACACATTTATTTACACGGTATACATCCCATTCAATAAATAAACCACTCAATATACATTGTATTACCAATTATTTTACATTTTATCCTCAAGACAGTAAATCTAGAAATTACATATAGTGCATATAATCTTTCATATCAAATAATCATATTTTAATCAATAAATATCTCATTTTAATTGTAATGATGCAAGTATGTGCTTCTATTATAAAACTGAAAATGTTTCAGTATTTGTTCATACAGCAAGTGTGATAAAATGTGGTAAAAGTTGTTGGGTTCTTGTACATGTGAAGTGTTTCAATAATGTGCATTAAAGCATACAATGTTCACTCAAGGGTGTATTACTGACAAGATGAGAAACTCAAACAATATTGATCAACAAGCTTACGAAACATGTAACACAGAAAAACCATGTATGTTGGTCAAATACACAGAATAATGCAACCAGATTCTGTAAAACATCTTAATGAAATTAATGAATAAAACTATGAATGACATCATATTTTTTTTCCATGATAGAAATCTTAAAATTGATATATTCTTCAAGTTAAAACAAAAAAACACAAAAAAAACCCGAAAGATACCAGTTCGCTTCATGTTGAATAATCATACGGGCTATTTCTCCAGAAATAAATAAATATATTCGGGGAGCAGCGAGACTCATCCTTTTTTAACCCCCCCCCCCCATCTATTTTTACAGAGATCGTAATAAAAACACCCTTCATACTATCGATGAAACATGTTAATGCTCCCTGCCCCTTCATATATTCATACATGTACCTGGAATAACCCTGCCATCTTTGTAGACACATTGTATGCATACCTTGTTTAAATCACCTAAGACAAAGTACCATGAAAAATATTGATACTGCTGCTACTAGAACGATCACAAAATAATCATATTTACAACAGATAAATACACTGCTGATCACTTCATATTTTAAATATGTCTAAGATCATGCGGAAACGGGACAGATACACCTTAATTCTAACCGAAAAACTTTTAATTAATTAATTAACAAATTTGAAAATTCTAACAGAGTCACTTGCAAACAAAATAAAATGGAGTTCTGATAAATCATTAGCATCTGATCAAGTGGTTACCTGCCTAATCTTAGCATTGAAAACTTAGACAGTTCTTGAGCTCTGAACAGCTTAAAATATACTTACACATATATAACACAACACAATAATTTCACTTGGTAAACCTACAGACATGCCCATACATCTCGCTCTTGCATGCATCTTAAACACAATACACAAATAAGATTTAACTCATTCACCCCTGAAATTTTATAATGGACTATTTCAATCTTTGAATTTGAAGAGTTCAAATGCATCTTCAGGGGTGAATGAGTTGAAGCAGATTTTGTTAAGATAGGTTTCTGTTGATTTTTCAGTTACTTCAAGCATTGTCCTAGTGATTTTCTTGTCATCAACATAAAACTGAACAATATACATATATGAAGTGGTCTCATGCATTTCAATCCACTTCAAAATGCTGCCTTGTACATTTTTTGTGGTATCGGACAGGTTTTCTTTTAAATGAAGAGGCGTCAAGACTTACTTAGTTGTCTCAGTGTTTACAGCCAAATCCACATCTACTGAAATGTAGCTCACCTTATAATTACCGGGTTATCGCAGAAACCAGATATTAAAAATAATAGATGGTCAGCTGATGATTTAACTATAAAATATTAAATCTTTCAAATAGTGAAACAATGTCAAATTTCTGTGGGAATTTATCTTTGTCACAATCGACATTATGACAATGGGTATTGTTTAACCACTTTTACACAATATTGATAATCAACCATTACACAAAAACCAAGATGTTTAAAATAAATTATTTTCTGTAAAATCACAATTTGTCATCGTTTGAAGTATTCAATTTTTTTATCTCTGGATCCTCTTCCTTAATCACAACACATAGAGGACTTTGTATTGCATTAAACATTCATCTGAATACTAGATAATTCTAACATCAAAATGTTACTTGAAAGGTTAATGTCTTAAATGTTTTAAAGAACTTTGGTTCTGGATCAGACTTTATGTGTAATGAAAGCACATGTAACACGTTCAATGGAATCAAATACCGAACTGGAATGCTTCTTACACAAGTTCAAAGTCCCAGGCTGGGGACACCCCTCTATGTTATTGTTTATAAGTAAAGCATTATAATCAACAAACATTTGGTGAATTACTCATTAAGCAGAGCATGGCATGAATGGCAATGGAGTATCTAAATGGTATAGCAGCTAAACCATCCTTACACAAACTACTCATACAACACAGGGCGCCAGTAAGTTTGTATTTGTTAAGTTGCTAATGTGTAGACAAACCTGATATTGAAGAAATAATCCAGACAGTGAATGAGTAGGTCAACAAAAACAACTTTTGGCCAACATCTCAAGAATGTTTTGAAATTACTGCAAATCAAAACCTCTGAGCTATTGTCCATTGACTATCGGTGTTTTCCAATTTGACAGTTATGATGAAACTCTAAATATCTTCAAACACAGAACATAAAATTGCACTTGAAAAATGAACATAACAAATAAAACCAGAAAACACACAAAAAATAACAGTTGTTGTTGATCGTATTTACAAAATTTTCAATTGTACCTAAATTTCTTCTACAGCCACATCAACATATATAGAGAGTTGACATTCACACAATCGCCCCCAAATTCTCACAGACACAGTTAGTCTGGACCCTCACGCACCACATATAACAACCCAGCACTAGAATATACTTGTCTCACAAGACCCACAACTCAGTATTATGTCAATCCTCAGCACAAATCCCAATCTTCTGAAGAAAGAACTTCTATAGATTCTGTATACATAGATCAATATTATAAGCAGTATTATTTTTCATAGATTTCATGGAACTATTAATCTATGAATAAAACATGGAAAAAGAACATTTCTAGTGTAACATAACATTATGTCCCAAGCAATTTTGAAGCCCAAAAATCAACCCTATGCACAAGTTTCTTTTATGTTAATGTCAAAATAATACCTTGAAATTATAGCTATGTACCATATTTCTACTGATACTGTTTTGACGAAATGAAAAATCTCTTAACCCTTTCATCACTGTAGAACATAATGGACTCATCCAGATCAATGCATTGTAGAGTCTACTAAAGTTACATAGGGGTGAAAGGGTTAATAAGGACCATTCTAATATAGCTTGACCTGCAATTATGTTAGGATGGATAACATACAGGGTTACCCAAACTACTTGCACAGATTTCAATTCAAGCACTTAATTTTGCATTTAAATAGTTAAACAAATTCAATAAATAAACAATTACTTTGTTAAGTTATAGGAAACACTGGAAATTCTTACAAACGCTTCTGCTGTCAGTAAAATTAAATGCAGTAGAGGAGAAATTCCTACTTTATCTGAAAAGATTTTGTGAGCTGGTTTAACACAACACTGTAAAGCCATGTGTCCAGATCATACCCAGGTGTACAGTATAAATACACCTCATCACAATTTTCTGTATTTGGTCAACATATGCTTAGTTCTAGTCAATTCTCCTGGGCGAGTCTGCTACACTAGACTAGCTTTTGCCTGGAATTCTTGTTACATCATATGATCCGAGTTGTAGCTTATTTCTGCTGCGTCACTTGATTTCCAAGCCTGGAAAGAAATCCACGAAAGCAATTATATCATGATCAACTGCAGATCAGTCACTAAATTCCAGGGCATTGAATGTATTTTGTAAATAATGCAGGTATGATTAAATTTCATTACAACAAGGTCATAGTCATCCAGATCTCCCCCCGAGGGAGTTTTAGAAAAGAGTAAGCAAAATTGAGGGTTGGTGTTAAATGAGTTTGTATTTCAGTTTTACTGCAATTAATTTTAATCTAAATTGCCGACCTCAAACTTTGTACCTGACTTGTGTATTAGGGAATTAGACTTTGGACAAAGAATTTCAATGTAATTCTGCAGATATAATTCTGCAGTGAAAATATTTAACAAACTTCAAACACTATTAACACAAAAATGTATTAACGAAATGGGGAATTTTGGCAGTTTATGCTTTATATGTGTTTCCATGGTAAGAGAAAAAATATAGTTAATGAAAACTCCTGTATAGCAAAAGGTACTACTAGACCATTAGATCAATACACGTATAAAGTTTTGTGAAGTTATCTGGACTATTACAGAGTAGTGCTCTAGAAACAGTTTATCTTGAAAGAACGGACAGTCGGACTAAACGTAAGCTTCAAATAATCAGGCCAGTAATTGATTCGGCCAACAACACCTTATTCTGGCATATATGTGACACAGCACCTTTAACAAGTCTGAATTCCACTCATGAAACAGTGGGAAAATATGCTCTGGAAATCTACACTTTGCATCAAAGATCAAAACATGACATGTATTTGAATGCAACCCAGCATATTCTAAGTGTTTGATCTTAACGGCAGACCGAAAGACAATCACAATGAATTCATTGTAGGTCTGTGGGATTCATTTACTTCATATACCAAATTGTCTATGAAGTGATTTCTTAGGATTTTTATGATAGTAGTGAGAAAAAAACTCCTCTGTTAAATAACTTATCTCCAAGTCAAAATATATAATACAGGGAGTGGGAGATCCAATGTCTGTGCAAAGAGTTCAGCAGATGGATTCCACGAGGAAACCACGAGTCCAGCCATAAAAAGAAGAGAAATCAGAAGGAATAGATGGCCATGACAACTTCGTGCTGGATATATTGAATACTAAATATATGAGTAAAATTTTATTGGTCAAGGTCTGGTCTATCAAAATTTCAGTAGTTCAGAAATCTATACACCTAATTGTCTATGGTGTTTAGATGCTAAATACTAATGACTGTCAGTTGGCCAATATTTCGTCCAGACGCTGAGAAGGACACACACAAGACAAGGTAAAATCTTTATAAATATCCTGGACTTTGTTGAAGGTCGACTCGGGTATACAAAATAACATTCTGGTGCCAACAGAAACTGGAGAAAACAAGAGGCTCATGGGCCTAAACGGTCATCTGAGTCCTACAGTATTAATTTTTGTTGTTGATATATGAAGTGGAGATAATGATGTCAATCATCCTTACCAAAATTTGAGTAAAAAATAGTAAAGTATAAGGTTAAGTTAAGTTTGTCACGACAATAAGTTGATCACTCCTAGACCGAGTTTCAGTTAAATAGGCCTATAAGAAATTGATCTTAAGGTTGTTGGTTTTTTTTAAATGGGCCCAGTAGATCTACACTTGACTTTAAGTTTGAAATAGTTTTTCAAAGTGGCTGCCATGGTGGCCATATTGGATTTCTGATCGACCTGAAAAATAACAACACTTTGTCAGGACTATGAGTTGATCATTCCTACCAAGTTTCAGTTTAATAGGGCCAGTAGAACTTGACTTTAAGTTTGAAATAGTTTTTCAAAATGGCCAGCCGTGGTGGCCATATTGGATTTCTGATCAGCCCGAAAAATAACAACACTTTGTCAGGACCATGAGTTTATCATTCATACCAAGATTCAGTTAAATCGTCCCAGTAGAACTTGACTTTGGTGTATAAAGTTTGAAATAGTTTTACAAAACGGCTGGCTGTGGCGGCCATATTGGATTTCTGATCGACCCAAAATAACAACACTTTGTCAGGACCATGAATTTATCATTCATACCAAGTTTCAGTTCAATCGTCCCAGTAGAACTTGACTTAAAGTTTGAAATAGTTTTTCAAAATGGTGGCCATATTGGATTTCTGATCGGCCCGAAAAATAACAACACTTGGTCAGGGAGTAGTCAGTAACATTCCCATGAAGTATCCATGAAATCCCTTTGACAGTATTTCAGCTTAAGTTGAAAATGTAAAACGGTAACGGACGACGCACGACGGACAGACGAAGACAGATAGCAATAGGTCACTTGAGCTAAAGCTCAGGTGACCTAAAACACCTTACAAATCAACCTACCATTCCATAGCCTCCTCCAAGCCTGTTCCCTTTAATGCAGATGTTTTGAATATTTGATATGTATGCTTGATAGCATTTAGTCCGAGTGCATTGGACACTTCTGCAGGGGTCATGGCACCCTCTATATCTTGCTTGTTTGCAAATATCAGAAAAGTCACTTTTTTTAATTCTTCTTCCTAAAAAGCAAAAGAAAAGTTTAACATGAACATAAGTCATTTGATAACTGATGCAGGATACCTTTTTAATATGAAACCTGTGTCTGATGAAAGATTAGTCATGCCTTGGGATGCACAAACACAAAGTGCATGTACAATTAGTCCATGAAGACAAAAAGTGCAATCAAGACTGTAAAGCCCAATGGTTCCGCACAACCATTGCAAAATCATGGAAATGCTTGAATTTCAGTTTTAAAATGTTTTTCCAAAATCATTCCTGTAAGTTCCATATAAAGTCGTATTATAATGATGTACCTCTAAAGCAACTAATAGTTTTATAACTTCAAAATGAAAAAAAATAAAAAATAAAAATAATAAATTCATCCGACACAATTGAAATCAGAGCTATTCCTATTGTTAATTAATAACTGGCAGATCTGACCAAGTCTCATCAGAATCCTGTCATATTTGACTAAGTTATTGTGCATAAACCATCAACCAATCAGATAGCAGTATGCTTATAAATTATGTGCAGGTTTTGCACACGTTTAAGGTTTAATAGCATTTGTCATTTGATAATATAAATTTTTGACCTAGCTTCATCAGAATAAGGTCAAATTTGACAAGTTATTGTGCAGAAACCATCAACCAATTAGAGCATAGTATGCTAATTAATTACATGCTGATTTTACTCAACTTTGAACTATTCATACCAAGTCTCATCAGAATCAAGCTTCAATCTACCGACATGTTCATGCATGCAAAGTTTCATAAAAGTTTAACGATCTTGCGGAAACCGAAGTGTGGATGGATGGACACTCTCCATACTATAACATGTCCCAACAAAATGTTTGACTAAAAAATTTGAGTTTCCATACGCGAAGGGGATACTGATGTTATAGCCATATGTGATAGCTCACAGTTACTTATAATCAGCTGGCTAAAAATGTTGATTTATTTTTATAAGAAATGATCAAGTTGAAACAGGATAAATGGAATGGACATTGATTGTGTCAATATGACTATATACGATAAAGAAAGCATATAAACAAGGGCTTTAACAAACAAACTTTAACTCATTCATCCCTGAAATTTCATAATGAACTATTCCAACCTTTGAATTGGATGATTTCAAATGTATCTTCAGGGGTGAATTAGTTAACACAAGTCTTAAGTTTCAGTTGTGCTCTGTGCATGTTACCTCCAGCATGGACGCAAGTTCTTGTTTGGAGATGTTTATTCTGTCTCTATCCACACTATCCACGACATAGATAATGGCATCCGTGTTGGAGTAGTAACATCGCCAGTACGGCCTGTAAGTAAAACATATTCCAACTCATATATATTGACTCATTATGCCTTTTTGGTTTTGAAAATATGAAGAAATTTTAAATGTGGATGTACTAATAATTGCAATAAGATTAAAATTCTATGATGATAAAATTCATGAAATTTGAATTGTTCCATTTTTATAAGAAATGATCAAGTTGAAACAGGATAAATGCTGGTAAATGATAACAAAACAAAAAACAACAAAAACACACAATATAGGGTCTATAAACATACCTAATACTTGTTTGGCCTCCTAAATCCCACACTTGAAACTTCAGGTTCTTGTAATTTACTGTTTCCACATTAAATCCAATTGCTGCAAAATACAAAACATACAAACCACATAGCATGAATACATGATAATGCTTTGTTGCAACATATTCATGTACCTTTATTTACTTTTCTGATCATCACATGGTTTCTTTATTTACCCAAGATCTCTAATATATATAGTGTTAGTTTGATCACTAATATTGTTAACAATTCACTATTATGTAATTACAATATTGACTAATATTACCAGAAACCAAAGTTTTGGAAATGAAATAAAAAAAAATTATCCAAGTCTAAACATGTTTCATGTAGTATTGATAATGAATTAGCAGTGTTTATGAAATTTGTTTGTAACAATTTTCAAATATGAAATTTGCTGAATTTCTCACCTTGTACAGTGGAATTCTACCGCTAGTAATTATTATAAATCTTAAGGTCATTTCATTCTTCAAGTACGTTAACAAGTACCTTTGACGGAACCTAGAATAACACTTTATTAATCCAGTGAGCTAAAGGGATAATCAAATTTTCTCTAGCCAAGTCATTAATAATTGATTAACACTTTATTAATCCAGTGAGCTAAAGGGATAATCAAATTTTCTCTAGCCAAGTCATTAATAATTGATCATGAGTAGATGGTTTACCTTTGATATACCACTGTACATGTACCCCCCACACTTTTACTTCAAATTTTAATCTGCATTTCAAAGCATGTATTCACTGTCCCTCCTAACAATGTTTCTGTGCAAACGTTACATTACTTAGCCTACGTTATTTAATCATCTTCCTCTGGATTGAATACTCTGACGTACACTACTTGATATAGAATTCAGATTAAGATGCAACTGCAAATTCTACTAATATACATGTTTATTCTACTAATACTTAAAAATCGTATTGAGTTTCATATAACACCAGAATAATGCTGGAGGGGGTCATTTTGGGTCCAGACCCCTTATGACTGAAACTGGCCATTTCTGTTTTAAATTTTCTTGCATAATTTAAGAACATGTACAATGGCAGGCTTGTCTCAATTTTTTTTATTGACTACAGTAATATTAGAACTATTTAAAGTTGTCAATTTCTATCATCTAAAAGTATTTTGTGTAATTAACACAACAGCACCTGCATCCAGATGTTGCATTTCCAAAATCAAAAACCATATGGGTCCGACAGACACAGTAAATGTACTTACTAGGAATAGTTGTTACAACTTCTCCTACTTGAAGTTTATATAAAATTGTAGTTTTTCCAGCTCCATCTAATCCAAGGATTAATATTCTTCTGTCCTTTTGTGCAAACCATCCAGTAAAAAAACTCCATACGTTTCCTGAAATTAAAAAAAATCAAAAGAATTTACCATTATTCTTGCCTCATGGTCACACTCAAAATTATGCTTCTTTATAATTTATAATTTATTAAATGTTTTATTCTGGTAGTGCTCCATTTAGCCTGAACATAATTTAATTAAAGATATCTAAACACCAAATATTCTCGAATTTTAAATAATGCCTGAAACATTGTTTATTGAGGATCAAAGGTAAAGCATTCTTGGGATACTACAAGTCTTAATTAAATGATTCATTCAAAGATATGTATTAACAACCAATATATAAATTACAGGAGTAGCAATACAATAAATTTGTCAACACAGGTGGTCAAAATCATTAGGGTACAAACACACCAACATTTTCATGACCACCTCTCTGCAAATTTTGGTTACTTTCCTTCAAAGGCCTATCGAAAACTTTACCTTTCCATTCATGGCACATGTTCATATGAACATGCGATGTTTTTTTCATTTACGTTTAAGAGGTTGTAGTTATGTATCTCTTTGTAGACACAATTTAGTGTCCAGTTTCTATTCTATTTTTCTGTTTCAGTAAACCATGTTTTTGATTGTTTTCACCTAACAGCCCTTATATATGTGTCTGTTTAATGTTTATACCTACTGTCATCACATATTGATTAACAACAAGCCCCCACTGGACGGGGGATCCCTGATTTAATTGCTTAACCTTGTAGCTTTTCTTTATTCATTAAGATTGACCAAACTTTGTTTCTTTTCGCGAGACCGATTGAAATTCATGAGAAATTTGTCTCATGCCGTGAGGAATTTTTCTGAGTCTGACTGTCTCACACTCAAATCATTCGATATGGCATGTATGAAAGAGACGAAATTGCACTTGTAACATTGGAAAGAGAAACGCAGAATCTAGACCAGGGTTTGAACCTGTGACCCTCTAAACTCTAGTGCAGTACGTATACATAAACAATGAAGTATAATTGACTCATGAATTCATATTCATGACTCATTGAAGTGAACAATACACTAGTCTATATGATTCTTAAATAATAAATTCAAGCAACCAATTCAAAGTTTGATCCTTTTCATATTGACCAATGTTGTCAAAGGAAATTGTACAACAAAAGTCTAAGTACTCTAAAACATAAGTTAACAAAGACACCATTTGAAAATGAGCAATACCTGTATTTGTTGAAAATGTTATGAATGTGTAACATATTTACGCTATATAATTTGTTACATATCGGTATTTTAGTTGTTATCCACATTTATAATCGATTGGGGTTTTTTTCAATTGATATCGTACATATATCAATAAATTTGTTAAAATACTGATCCTTGATCAGATTCTAGCCTCTAAATTTAACGTTTAGTCCGCTCCTGACGATTAATAATATGTAAGAGAACATAACACTCGTCTATCAATGTATATTACATTGATATTCTACGAGCCTACACGTTTAATTCATGTCATTTGAGTTACATATGACAGGGGAATATTGGTCCAAGATTTCCATCGGTAAAAAAAAATCGGGGGGGGGGGGGGGGTTACTGTGGTCTGCAAAACAAAACGCAGATCTGTCATTCGGTGCATGAAGGCACTAACATATTTCAAGCTGGAGAATAAATAAATGTATTGTATAAATGCGTGTCATTTGAGACGGTTTCATGTAATAATCGATAAATTACCCATTCTTGCGTGTGTTTTCTTCAAGCCGGTGCTTGCTGTCAGTGTGGCAAAACGCGAATATACCCAAAACGTGTACAACCCTACAGCGCATGCGCGAGTTATTTCCTTTTCTCAAGGCTGTATGTTTTTACTGTAAACATTTCCTTAAAATCACAAATATGTTGGGGGGGGAAATAGAAAATCATATTATTTTTTAAAAATAGAAACTGCAACTATTTCATTAGGAAATGAGTATACCATTAAAGCCAAAGTTATGATACGAAACAATTGATAAATATCCGGCGCATTCGATCAACTCAGCAGTAAGGATGTCTCACACTAATTAGTAGGCCAGTAAGGATGAATGTTAAGCATTTTCAAATTATCTTTCACATATTCAAACAAGAGCACAGTATTCCAACAAGGAATTGAAAAGGGTAGGGCGCTGACCAGATTTTTTTTTTTTTTAGCGCGCAACACTTTTTATATGGCATTTGATTGCGCGTCAGAGATTTTCAGGGGCAGTCAATGTATTTATTAACTACATAATAAAGGTCCAGTGGATCTAGTGATATTGTTTATTGATATTTTACTGTATATATGTAACAGAGGTCATCATTTTGATTGCATTCGCCCGCTTTGAGTCGAACCAGGGATCTCTGGCTTAATAGTCTTAATCTTTACCGAATGAGCTTATAAATTATTCTCCCTGGCCGAGTCGGTAGAAAGCGGCTATAGTCTTTTGCCAGGGAGAAATACTCCCCTTTCCAGTGATCGTGTCAGTATTTCCCGGGTTCCTACATGGGCGCCAATGTAACAGAGGATTTGAATAAGAACGAACAGGTTCAATTTGAGCATGCACGCACTACGAGGGTGCAACTGGGATATATCGACAGGTTTAAACGTAAAATAGATCAATAATTTATTACGATGTTGTAGATGCTGTAGGAAGATGATTTTGATTCAAAATAGGTGCATATACTTGTATTCAGAGAGGCTAGGCGAAAAAAGCGAGAAGTTACCTTCTCTCCTCGGCTGGAAAGGCCTTTTTGTTAGCAATAAATGCAGACAGCTGCCGCTGAAACGTACGGCTGTACAGTTGTTAAGGATTTTTCCATTACTCATTAAAAACGCCAAGAAAACATTGTCTCTTGTCAATTTCTCGACATGAGTTGTTCATCGGGAGTATCAAACTATAGAAACATGAAGAGTTTTGTGACAAGGTTATAAAAAACACTTACTTGACTAACTGAAACAGGAATACTCTTTTAAAATTAAATAAAGTATGCATTTTACTTTACATTGGCTGGAGTGTGCCAGTGAAGTTTGGGATGGCTGTTCACATGCAGATGCTATCACCATCTGTAAAAGGTCCAGTTGGAAGCAACTAGGGTTATACCAGGTTTACCATCATTTGCCAGAACTGAAATTCACTATATGTAGAAACCAATTAAGAACATATATCAATAAGAAGGAAACAAAAGAAATTAATATCATTCTACAAAATGCGAAGTAAACTAACTCCATCTTACCGTAATGACTTACTTCCTATACAGGTAGGGGAACCAACACAACACAGGCTTAGAAACAGAAACAACTACACTACCCCTCCATACAGACTGTCATGATAACAAAATCATCGTTCATCCCATCAACTATATACGACCGTGGAATGATTTGAGTGACACTATACGTGACAAACCAACAATTAATAGTTTTAAATCATCTATGATTAATGAAAATAATATGAATGTGCTGGCAATCTACTTTTGATACGGAAACAGAAAACTAAATGTTTTACATACAAGATTAAGACATGCCTGTAGTTCTGTAAGATACGATCTGTATATATAGGGTAAACATTATAGAAAGTCCGTCTTGCGCACCTGGAAGTCGGTATGAAAATTAATTTCATCATTTCCCCCCAGTGTAATCAATATGAAAGAGAAAGCCGTTTATTATTACATACAATATCTGTATATGGTATTATAAACTTAGATTTGCTATTAAATGGCGGTCCAAGTTTGTCTCCTGGAGAAAACATCCATGTATTTAAATAAGTACAGTTAGTTTATTAAAGACAGTGATAGGCTGTAAATTATCCCTCTCTTCTCTTACACTCTCTTCGTTCTTCTCTATCTCATGGAGGCACGGCAGACTAGTGGTAGGACACCGGGCTCATGACCGCAGGGTTGCGGGTTCGAATCACGGCACGACACTGTGCAAGATATTTTACTCCGTTTGTTCCAGTCTACTCAGCTGTAAATGAGTACGTGGTGGGCAGCGCTAGATTTGATGAATGCTAGCTGTTAGCGCCGAAATGGCAGCTCCGGCTGTATGCAGGGAGATGAGAAAGATATTGGCTGGTTGCAAAGGCCCTATCACTATTCTTTTACGCTCCCATTGATGATTTGTGTAAATTGTATTGTTGATGTTGCACAATTTGCTCAGCACCTGTGGCTGGAGTGAATTCCATATCCTGATTTGCTTTCTTACTTATCAAAGTTAACTCACAAATGAAAAATGGCGTTTGCCATCACAACTACACTAAAACGATTAATTTAATATATGAAGTTTGATTTGTTGGTAATTTTAAGTCTCCTAGCCTCAAGGATTTTTTTCTGTTTTAACCGTTAAAGTTAACCCATTTCATTGTTTTGGTCCAAGATAAAGTGTGTGTTTTTTATGTACAATTAGTGTTTTGGAATACAAGGACTTAAGTGTATCTCCTTGCTCATCAAAAATATTAAAGTTAAAGTTACATTAATAACAAAAAAAAGCGTGTGAAGATAACCAGTCATATTGATGTTTTATACTTCTACCTAGCATGTCATACGCATCCCCGACTACTATAAACACTCTACTGAGCCTTTTTAATCTACATTTTTTTTTATATAGACTGGTATTGTAAAGAAATATTTGGTGATGAGCAAGGAGATGCACTTTAGTCCTTGTATTCCAAAACACAAGAAACATTGTTTTTTTAAGGAAAAGGGCATTGTAGGATAAGTATAAAACTTCCACAAATTAAATATCATCATATAACTATCTCATCCTGAAATCAGCTTCAGATAACTAGGTTCGACCTTATTTCAAAAACGAACAAATCTGGTCCAACCATTTCAATCGTTTTGAATCACGAAATTTCAAGAAAGGGACGACAACTCTTGGATAGAGATCGAAATAATCATCGAATGCGCCGGAAACCTTAAAAAAGACCCGGATAAATAAAACGAAAAAAAATATATGTAAAATAATAATAAGTAAATGAATTAAACCTTATTGAAATAAATATTATTACTCATACTGATTTGAATATTATTTTTTTTATCACTAATTTCGAGAGGACAATCAAAAAGTGAATGAAATAATTTTGTTTCGTTTCGTCTTTTAATATCCTTTTCTGTAGAGCGTGAGAACCAAAATGTCGCGACGCGAAGGGCAGCTTTTTGTTGGGCGACTCAGTAAAAGTACTAGAGTACGTGACCTAGAAGACGTGTTTGAAGCTTACGGTCGCTTGGCAAGATGTGAAGTTAAATATGGTACGTAAATATGTCATAAAGTTGGGTGGATTTCATCTTTTAAATAGGCCACAATCGGGGTTCAATGAATTTGTAACGATTTTGGAGAATTCCGCACAATGGCAATGTCGATTAGATTAACAAGTCATCATGTGGCGACATTTTGCGCTCTTGAAAACAAAGTTATTCGACTGCTCGTCAGAGTTATTTGTACCCGTCATCGCATTATGACTATAAGATCTTCTATTTGATCACAAAAACATGATTGAAGTACATTGTAAATTATATCGACCCAGTATGTGGACCCAAGGGAGATAACAGTAATGACGTATTTTAATATTTTCTAAAATGTCATTATAATATGTGATTATTTTCTCCTCCTTTTAGGTGCTGAGATGGGTAAGTGAATGAAACCTGCCCTGCTGTGAAATTTTGTTGCAGAGACATCATATAATTTACACCAAAGAAGTCTTAGAGAATATAGCAGGGTCAACTAAAAATATAAACTTTAAATTTCACCTAAGAAAACTGGTGTTTTAAATACTTCATGGGTCACTTAATTGAACAATAAGCCAGGTTTTCACTGGTTCCAGTACAATTTTATGCTATGAATAATTCATACTTTCTGTGGTCAACTAAACTCCAGGGAAGCATCGCAGGCTCATCCTTAGTAAAGTATAGTTTATTTCTGAAAACTCCACATTACCATAGAACGAATGGTAAGTTTTTATATCCGGCATATTAAAGCTAAATTTTAACATACTTACAAAAAAATCATTAAAATAATAACCTTCTTAATATGGGTTATAAACATTGACAAAATTTATTTAAAATTTGTTCAATATATAGACATTTACTAACCCTACATCAAGTTTTTTTGAAAATGACAATAGCAACGTTTTAACCCTACACAAACTTAATTTGTGGCAGAGAGAAAAAAAATGTGCATCAACATGCACGAACAAATCACATTATAAACAACCTGTAGATTATCTACATTCTACAAGTCTAATGCACCAGTTGAAATGAGCTAAGGGAAGCTAACTACGATACTCAAACAAAATTATGCTTATTGAAAATACGGTCGTCATGGGGCAACGCCGTCACGATTGGGATGGAAAGTATGATATTTTTGTGCTTTAAAGAATTGTTAGTTTTATATCAGCATTTGTGAGAACAATAAATAATGCCATAGTAATGAGTTCCCCAACTAACTGATTAGCTGACATTCAATTATCTCCAAGTATTTTGTTAAACAAACCAAGGTACTGAGTCACCGTACCAAATACAACATTATCGGGGAAAGTGTCATGGCATTTTCTAACATTATGGATGTATAAGAGTTATCTACCTTGGAGTGACAATTGGTGTTTAAGATATTTGGTGCTTATATTTTTTATTAACATATGTACATGTATTTTTTACCAATGTTGTACACTTCCTCTAATAATAATAATATAAGTTTGATAATAGTGTTAAGATCCTTATCTTAGAAATAAGCCTGACAGGAGTTTTAAATACCAAGTTATGAAGAGTAATTAAAACAGAAATTCTGAAATTCTTTTTTTCACTAAAAATGAATTCAAGTTTTATTTGCAGTCCCAGGGTGTAAGCCCTAAAATATTAATACAAAAATAAAACTATGACATACTTTCATTTAAAAAAAATCATTTCTTTAAAACTTGAGTTGTCTTAGTCACAAGAAATTATAACAGGTCTTATGAACACGAGAATTTGTAAATTGACCCAGAGAAGTCTTAAGGCCATCCAAGGTGCATTGGCTTCTCCGATACAAAATTACCCCAAAATAGTATACAGGGAATCTGTACTCCATTGCTGATGGTATGAAAAGTGAATTTGCCTTGTAAAATTCATGTACAATTTGTTAACTCAATACACCCAAAATAATGGCCAGGCTGATATACCCAAAATAAAGGCCAGTGGGATACACCCAAAATAATGGCCAGTGTGGCTAAGGTCAGAATCAATATATTACATGAAACCTTATCATGTTTTTACAATGTACTTTCTATTGTGATTCTTTGAATTTCTGTCAGTACTCGTAACATTTACCAGTAACCACCTAAACTAAAGTTATACTGGATAAAGATTATAAAGTATGAATATAAGTCTTAAGTCAATATCTATGTGCTCCGGTGCCGTGTTTGTTGTGATCAAATCTTCTTAATATTGACTCAAATTTAAGCTCCTCGTAATAAACTTGTAAAATACACAACAGTATTATTACAAAAGAAAAAGTAAAATGTACCAATTAATGCAAACTACACCTGAATAAAAAAAACTGGTTAAAGTGTGTTTGGTCAGGTATAATTATATTATTACTTTCAAAGTTTGGTTGAACATACAAGGAGGGGGAAAAAAATCAAATTTGATTTTCAGTCTGATATTCATTGCAATAGTTAGTAAAACTTCCAATCTTGTTATGTCTGTGTGCGTTATGGTCATATCTTATGCCGCTTTATTTGCATATTCTGTGGTCTTTTGCTTTCAGCATATGCCTTTGTTGATTTTGAAGACCGAAGAGATGCAGAGGTAATAACAATATAAACATTTATATTTATTCTGAATTTCTTCACAGGACTGTACACAAAATATATTGATATGTTTCATAGTATTTATGACATTTCAAATATATTCGTTTTTAAAAAGCTTATGTTCGTAAAGTTGCTAATTCATTTCAAACAAAGTTAGTTTGGCAATATATATCAATGTTTTGATGAGGAGTGATTGTTCCTTTCCACATTATCTCTGAACACCTTCTCCAAAAATATTTACTTCAAAAAGCACTTTGGTAATATAATGTTAATTAGAGCATAATCATTTCTATCCAGTATTTCTTATGACCTGTAGTTCTATTAATTCATGGAAAATTTAAATATTCACGAAAATTTGTCAAACCATCACTGACAGCTTTTTGGCTGTTCATGATAGTCCAAAACTTTCCAATAGATAAAGTTGTTGTTGAAGAGAAATGAACAGTTGTCTATGGGCTAAGATATCTTAGATCTAAGATACTACTTTCATTGACATAAACATAGACATCACTGTTGATGTTTCAGTAAACAAAATGGAAATATTTTACATGTAGATATGGCAGTTGGCAAATCTCTTTTTGCAATGAAACTGGTTCTTTTGAAAATTGCAAGACAATTGATTTATGAAATTTAATCATCATTAAGAGGATTTGCAAAATATACAAAACAGACTTTAACAAGAATTCCTTTATAGTTTTTTTTAATAGTTTTTGAAATTCGTGGCGCAAATTTTCACATGATTGAAAACAATAAAAAAAAGAATTGAAGCAAAACTATTGGAAAATGAATTTAACAATGATTGGTTTTGAAGCAAATGTTTTTAATGTGGAGGGGAGATAATTAGATCACCAGTGACATTCATTGATATTTTGAGCAGTGGTTATCAAATCTTGATGGCTGGGGGGGAAAGAATATATTGAAGGAAAACAAATAGCTTGGAGGTAAGAAATGGTGAAATTTTGAATTCTGATTTTTATACTGAAATTAATGCACATCATTTGTGGCAAACCTTAGCAGTGAGCGAGCCCCTGCCTTGCCATGACTTGCCAATGCCTGCCAATGCCAGTACAGATTGTGCCAAAGTCCCATTGCCTGCCAACACCCATAGGCAGACAGACTATTGAAACCTAGCCATTGGTCACAGCATTAGCCAATCAAATACCATGTACCATACCAGTACCTCCGCCCGCCGGAGCCGGTGGGTCAGTCAGTTCAGTCACAAATCCTCTCTCCACCAACTGACCAGTTCAGTGTGCCAAGTTAATTCTTGTGTCCATCCATGTCCGACCGGTCAAATGTCCATCCCACCAAGGCTTCTATGACAGACTCCATCAGTCTGATCCATTCCATGGTATATCAACAGTAGGTCATTTAGTACATTGTAGCCTCAGTATAATATACAGTGAAACCTGTCTGAACTGAACATCAAAGGTCTCATATATTTTATAAGTCAGAATGGACCGGTGTAAAGATTATACCTGTTATAATTCCATAAAAAGTACAACGGGACCTGTATGAGGTCTACACGGTTTATAGGTTATGCTGGGTTCGGTTACGACAGGTTACATTGTACATGTATTGTCATGATGTTACTTGATGTGTTAATGGTGATTCTTGATTGTCTATTTTCCAGACTTGTATTTACTTGACAAATTGCAATGATCATGATATATGAATAATCTAAATTTGAAAATATTGCTTTAATTACACTTTCCAAATTCCCTTTTCAAAGTCAAATTCATATTACACATTGTATATATTACACCCTGATCCTTACTGTGCTGTTGCTTTTATTTTCAGGATGCTATTAAGTATGAAAATGGACGTGAAATATCAGGTTCTGGTATTGTAGTGGAGTGGGCTAAGGGTAATCGTAGAGGCGGTACTGTTTCCAGAGGGGTAAGTATTAATATTTAGGTTCTAAATACTGTAAGGGGGATAATTATCTTGATCTAGCAATTCCGTCTTTGCGTATTGCAGAGTTTTCTTCTCTTGAGAGCAGGTATTGATTGTTACGTCATTGGTTTGTGTGAGAAAATTACGTCGTTTTCTCAAAAATTGATGACGTTACTTTCAAAAACAAATGATGTAACAATCAATACCTGCTCTCAAGAGAAGATAACTCTGCACTGAAATGAGAATAAGTATCCAGATACCGCAATTGTTCTGTTGTATACACAGTTGTCAGTGGAATAAGTTTCTAGATCTAGCAAAAGATACTAAATTTCTTAAACAGATATCAGTAGAATAGATTGTTAGATCTAGGGCTTACATTTTACAGCCAGGAGATTTTGCATCATGCCATTACATACATTACATAAGGTATCAAAAGTGTATAACTTTAATAGATCATATTGGCATTCTTCTACCCCCAAAATATCACTTCAACAGTCTCCAATGGCTGACAGCTCAATGCAGGTTTGATACGATTTATAGTTGTTTTAAAAACATGGGTAGTAAATTGTATTGAAAGCTCAGTTAAGTGTTTTAAGATCACCTGGTCCCTGGGAAGTAGTTGAGATCCCCGGCATATAACCATATACAGTATACAATTGGTGGGCATGAAAATATAAAACAATGATATCAGAATTGACCGTGTTATCAGAATTGATCCTACCCTCATGATTTGTTCCCTAGGTGATAACATGGAATTGGTTGAGATCCAAACACTTTATCTAAGGCCAAAAAACCCATTACTTGTGTCTCCCCTATCATCCAGTAAAATTTAGGGTGGGTAGGTAGGCAATTATTTTTATTTGACCCAATTGTTAGGTACAGTGAAGACACAAATGAATTTGACCCTTGAGACTTAGTGCTATGTTTATAACTATGATACATCACTATGATTCTCAGTTTTCTCTGCACCCTTATTTCATGTCATGTCATAGCATTAAGCTATCCAATTGATATGCGATATAAAAACCTTACCAATCGCATTGGTGATATCAGTCCTTTGAAGATTACAGAAAAGTTTCACCTAACTTCAAAGCCTGTAAACTTTGCTTATTCACTGCGGTGTGATTCCTTTCATCTTCACCAAGTGCTTCAGACAAGGCTATTTATATCTTTCACAAAAGGTTGCATAAAGAGCCTTCGATTTTGTGATGACATATTCTAAGGTTTAAGAGAAGAGGTGTATATCAAGTGGAAGAGCAGAACCTTTCAAACTCAAAGATGGTATGAAGTCAGAGACAACCACTATCAAGCTATGAGTTATAGCCCTGGGGTCTCACCCTACCCTTGGAGACTTACTTCTTATACCTTGCATTTGTTATGAGAAAATATTGCCATGATTGCTCAAGTATCTATTTGAGTGATACATACATTCTGCACTTCTTGTATTAACCAGTTTATACTGGTTTCTGGTTCAGATTTAGTGGAAATCCCACAAGTTTGTTGTACAATAGTGAAATCAGATAAGAAAAAAATTGATGGAATAATATTTTGGCTAAAATTAAGTAATGATTAGTTATACTAATTGTAATTATACTTTATTATGTACTAATGTTCAAATAAGGAATATTGTAAATTAAAATGCATCTATTTTATATTTTTCAGCAGGGCTTTGATGACTGTTATAGATGTCATCGTTCTGGACACTGGGCTAGAGATTGTCCTGATGACCGCAACTATGGCTTCAGGCGTCAGCAGACTAGCGGAAGATACAGATCACCATCCCCAAGGAGGAAAAGGAGGCAAGAACATTATTAGCGTAGTAGTAACATTTGTGGAATGTACAATTAAGACATGTACAGGAACATATTATGTACAATAGCACACGCGAAACATTGTTTGTACAATAACACATATTTCAAACATTGCACAATTAATGCATACACAAAAACAATTAATGCATACACAAAAACAATTAATGCATACACAAAAACATTGTGCATGTATTAACAATTAACACATGAAAAGTGATTTAACCATGTAATACAATGTAATTGATTAATGGTTTATTATATAAATAAATCCTACATTCAGTGACAATTTCTGTTTTTGTAGGTCGAGGTCCAGGAGTGACTCCAGAGATCGGGATAGGAGGAAGAGGAAAAGGTCAAGGTCACGTTCAAGGAGCAGGAGTCGCAGTCACGACCGTAGAAGAAGGTCTAGGTCACTCAGTGGAAACAGAAAGAGGAGCAGTCGTCGTAGGAGTCATTCTGGGAGCAGGTCAAAGTCCAAATCACGCAGTCGCTCAAAAAGCAAGAGTAAATCTGTCGCCTCCAAATCTAGGAGTCGTTCTCGCAGTGCAAGTCCAGCAGCAGTTAATGGAGAAAACAAGAGTGATCGTTCAGCATCCCGATCACCAGCCCGGTCTGATACAAGCGCATCTGAATGATATCTTAGAATGAGACTTTGTCAAATTCTGCTGTTTTTCATTTTTCATCAGGAATTTATTATTTTTTGTGATCACATATCCTCATCATTCGATCATGTATGGCAGACTTGACATTAGATGTGGACTTTCATTATTCCTAACAATTCTATATGTATTCAAGAAAGCTTCAGATAGACGTGCTATTTACCATCATGATACATTTCTTAAACATAGTGAACCTTTTTTTTTTGGTTATTGTCACTATTTTATGAGGTGTAAATTAGAATTAAAATTTATATTACAAATGTACAAAGAATTGTGTGCTTTTTAGCTCATCTGTGGTCAGAGGAATCAATGTGAGCTTAATTATGGCATTCATCTGTTTCTCTACAATATCTTCAAACAACTTCTTCTGAACCCCTAATACATCCATTATTCAAATGAAAAGGCAATTTGGCAATATTGTTTTATAAGACTTCTCAGAAACAAAGTGATGGATATCAACCATACTTGGAAACATTCTAAGGTATTAGGGACTCTGAATTGTACCATTGTAAGGGCAGGGACAAAGAAGGATAATTTGGCCACATTGCTTTCAATGACTTTTTCTCTAGAACTATAAGGCGGATATCAACCATATTTTGTAATATATGCAGGTTTTATAATACAGGTATGCTATTCATTTGCTGAACTGGTTATGTGATCAAAAAAATCAGTTGTGTTAATTGTACAGCCACTTAATTGAAAATGAGATCACAACCAAATTTGTTAAATTTTGCAAGGCCAAATGTTGCATAGTACTGGAGGTGCTGCTTCAATGGGCAGAATTAAGCTCAGTCCAAGTCACATTTGATGCAGGATTTTAGGCCAACTATCATTATAATGTTTATTTAATTTTTTTATAAATCAAAATCAAATATACCTGGTAAATTATAATAAGGTAGACCATGCTCTACCTACTAATGTGTGAGGGCATCTTAAGGAACATTTATGTTCGGCAAAGTTCCTAATTCATGTTTCATTTTTTGGTGATCATGAACGATACACCACTTGTTATCAACACTATGTTATAATCGTCATCATTATATTAAATTATCCAGAAACGGTATTTTTCACTAAATAAATATATAATGATAAAATTCAGATTTTAAATTGACACTGATCAAATATATAATGATAAAATTCAGATTTTAAATTGACACTGATTAAATATATGATGATAAAATTCAGATTTTAAATTGACACTGATTAAATATATAATGATAAAATTCAGATTATAAATTGACAAACTGCCCAAGACTGCATAAGCAGTCTGTAACGGCTAATCTATAACACATGGGAGGCTGGGAGGCCGACTTACTGGGGTGCTGGGGGGAAAGGAGTTGAACCTAGAGCACAGGAGGAAATTTACTTTAATAGACTTGTGAATGCACCAAATACTCTCAAGTATTGAGATACATAGTTGATGAGTTGTAAGTCGTGAAATGCAGGCTGGGGAAGACGTAAAGGGACTCCCAATTACACAATGTTGAGCGAAGCACAAACAAAAACAGGAAGGACGTGTTCTGCTAGTACCATGTTGGATAAAGCATGTATGTTTGTAACCATCCATCCTTGCATTTGGTCTGCTATCATAAAATTTATCTTAAGATGCTTGTCTCGAGTGAATAAAAAAATTCTGAAAATCTTGCTAGTACGATGTTGGATGAAGGAGAAAGTATGAGGGAATTAAGGAGTTAATCCTGTGTTTGAAGATAGAGGAATGACTTCCCCATTTTCATATTTCTGCAGTGGAACAAGGCGAACATCCAAGAAAAAGTACAGATGGTACAGAAAAAAATCAGAAGGATTGTGTATTAAAAGTGACGGGGCAAAATCGTTGGAACTCGACAAGGATTGAGTGTGGACCATGTGGAACCTCCTAGGCAGGACAGTGGCTTTGGGTAAACTCTTGAGGAAGGAGTCCAATTTGGATTTCCATCTTGTCGGCCATAAGCATCACCAATGAGCCTGAGAAGGACCAAACAGCTGTATGAATCCTGTATTTCATTTTTGGCATGCTGTATCTATTAAAACAAAAACAATGCCGTCACATGTGTTTAAAAATATGTTCATCTTTCAAGAGTATTGCACACACACCACATCAACACACCCATGCGATAACACAACATCATCATTCAAACAACTTGGTTCATCTGAAAGACAAATTGCTGAAGAAAGACAAGACAGTTGATTTACCAATTATACCATGTAACGGTTACAACCATACACAGATGTACATAGTTCAAGTCTGCACACGTAACGTTTACGTCACGAGAAAGCTGGCAAATGGTCGTTAAGATGTTTTAGTAAATTGCTATCAGATAGAAGTACATGGGATTACAGGGACCCGATATTTTGTTACAGCTATATTTGGAACTAAACTAGGGTGTTCAGAGTAATATAGTATAATCATTGGGGTGAATGTTTTTACCGAAAGTCGATCTAAATATAGGTGTAATTAATTCTCAGGTCCCTGTGCAAGGGATTAGTATATACTGTTAAATATTAATTACTATGTCGAAAAAAGGTCCACGGGAAAAGATGTTAACATTGTTCGAACGTGTCTTCATCGAGAGCTTATATATATATATTGTTACAGGCAGGGACGTATAGTGAAGGGATTAGCAACTCCCTCTCTGCCTAACCAATTTTATGACACGTCAATCTAGACTTACCTCCCCCTGATTCCGGAGCAGCTCGCGAGCGCCACCTATCTCAATTTTGACAAAGCAAGATGGCGTCGAACCGCTTCGTTAGATGCAGAAGTTGGTGTGAAAACAAACCAATCTCGATAAGTGTTTTTACGTCTTTTGTTTATCCCATTGTGATAAGCTGATTGTATTACTTTTAATTGATAAAATCTGTGGTATCATAGTAATTGATGTCTCGTTTTTGGGGTATATTTTTCTATTTTAAAACGCGATGTAACGCGTGGTTCAGAGTATTGTGGTGGGCGTCGACAGACAAAAATGCGGGATAAAACAAAACCCACATATATCTGAACCACCTCACTCCAAAAGTATTTGACCGATCTTTTTTAAATTAGCAGCAATAGAAAGCTGAATAAATTTTATAACGACCCAACCCATTTTAATTGCAAATAACATATTTAACTTGTGTTATTTTTGTGTCAAAAAGACTAAATTATTAAGCATTATTTTTCACTGGAACGTAAATCATTATTGCGAAAGTAGTTGGTGACTGCTCACTGTTTTGATTAAATTTTATAACTATCGATTATATTTTTTAAAACAATTAATATCAATAAACAGCTGAGTAATTTCTATGTTAAGTAGGCCTGATTTGATATGCGTTACTTGGAACGATAGCGATGTCACAGATGAAATTACTCGTCTGATAACAAAGGACACGTGTGGTTCAAAACCGTAAACAACCGGAAATGTTAAACGCAACAAAAAAGTATCGCCTGCATTCGAGGATCAGCTCATTTAAAAAATACTTCGTTTTGAAATTTACAGCGATAGAAAGTTGAATAATTTTTTGATATGTAGTACTAATTTTTATGGCAAAAAATAACAAATAACTTGTGCTGTTTTTGTGTCAAAAAGTGTCAATATTAGCATTATTTTCACTGGAACGTGCCTTACGAAATGTGATTTGTTGTAACAGCCATCAACACAGCCGAAAGGCTAGACATAGTGGCAACGATAGCCCTGTCCCTGGAATAAAAAGAAGACCTACAAATACACAGTCCCAATTAGGGCTAACCGTTATCAAAACACTTCGATCTCGGCGAGATTGTTGACATGACACCGAAAGCAGGTGCGTGCTTAATTTTAACGCTAGTGCGCATGCGCGGGCTGATCGAGAGGGGCTCTCGATGACTTCGCGGTTCGGTGAACCAACACAAAAGCAACGTGCTATATAATCTTGACTGGGCCAATCCCCTCTATATATACTGTCCCTGTTACAGGGGACTTGTCTTTGTCGATAGGGGAAACCGGGGAATAGGGCAAAAATGTCTGTATTTGAAGAATTATCCGAACATGACTTCATCGAGAGCATATATAGTGTTAAAGGGTACTTGTCTTTGTCGATAGGGGAAACCGGGGAAAAGGGCATAAATGTCCGTATTTGAAGAATTATAACACTTTTCTATCGGAGGTTCGGACAGGCAGTCTGGGGTAAATTAAGACGTCATAAAACGTGACACGTCAGATGTTCCCGCCAATTTCACAATTTTCCGTGTGATTGTATGGGCCGAGCCTTCCTACTACCGACAATTTAATAAGTTCGTATATATATACTTATTATTAACAGCAATACGAAAGGCAATACAATGCTATGCTACCATCATGAGAAGCTGTCCGTGTGTTACACGTATGACATAAATTATCTTTCTTTCCCCAAACAGTAACTTTCTCCTTTTTAGTAATTTAAAAAAATGAGATCATTTCCTCGACATTATTACTTGGGAATGTCCCTCCCAGTCATATGATGTACTTAGATACTCAAGTTTGTAAATAATTGCTCAAGACCAAAACTAGCAGGGGTGTCGGACTTAATCCGGGGCCGAACTTACCCCGCGGTCTCCCCCATAAGTGCCGAAAACCAACTGGTAGAAGTCAAGCTAAGTCTAGACCTTGTCTTCGCATCTGACTTGAAAAGGATGCAACAACAACTACCGAACATCATAGTCCTATTTGAGGGAGCGATCGTTGTATCCTAGAAATTATAATCGGTGTTATCTCTAGAAAGTAGACAATTATTAAAAACGATCCCGGGAAAGAAACCATGAGATTTACATTCATAGTTTTAAGGTAGTACACGGGGACACGAGGGTTAACTTAAGTTTATATAGGCTAAAAACACAATGTCTAAAATGTAAAATGAGAGGAAAGCTATCGAATTAAAAAAAATGATTACACCAATTTTACTTGCTGCCAACATATATATCTTGAAGTCAATCATGAGTTGACGTTGCTAACAGACGACCGAGAGACTTCCCAGCTTACTATTGCTGACGTAATGCCGGGAAATCTAGATATATATGCAATAATAAGTGTAGTTACCCTATCCAGAGACGTATAATATATTATACACGATATCATACGTCTCTGACCTATCATACGGTTGCTTTAATTTTGCGTTAGTCGAGTCGTTTACACATCTCAATTGACGCATTATCCAGAGCTGATTGAAATGTTGAATTGCACACGGTTAATCGGATTCAGAGGATTTCCCCTAACTCCAATGTGTCAGGCGCCATAGTTCATTCAAAAAAATGTTGTAGGAGCGGGAAAATGCACGGCCAGACCGGGGGTTCAAACCTGGAACCCTCTTAACTATAGACGGACGCTCTACCAACTGATCGAGCTACCTCGTCGCCCACGATCGACTCTGTCTAGATCCAAATTCACAGGGATTGGGCACAAGTTCTTACTACCAACTATAGGCTCTCTCCATCAAGTACAAATATCACATGACAAAAAGTTGAACATAAATTATGCATTTAATCACGGACTTAGATAACAATCTAATCTAATTCCGTGATATAATATATATATCATTACATCACATGACCGTAAAATATGAGATTATGAAAAATCGTGGCCAAAACCCTTTACTAAAAGTAATACTTGAAATATTTTTAAAATAGAATTTTTAATGTAGGTTTTATCACGGACTTGGATAGCATCTAACCGTGGTTTTATGTAAAAAAAAAAAAAAAAAAAAAAAAAAAGGCTGTTACGAAAAGATCCAGGGATTATGAAAGGATATTTTGATTTTGCAAAAATAACTACTGATTTGTTCAGTCATGTGCGAAATATGTTGTATACATAGTTTAATTAGAAAAGAAATTTGATAATATTGCGTGACGTGGTCGTTCAACGGGAGATAACTCGTACGTTTCGTGTATTTTACTGCGTCGTTGACTGGAATGCATTGTTTCTTGCGTGCTGTTCTTGTGTCAGCTCACATATTTTAGATCAAATAATCGTGATGAGAGATGTCATGCGTTAGAACTCCAAACAATCTTTCATGGATTCCCATTCCCTAATTTGTGATTATCTTATCACGTTATATATAAACTACAATATCCGTTAAACGCTTGTAAGTCATAAACTGGGTTGTTGCGAGTCGACTACGAACCCGTTAAGATAACACGGGTATCATTCTTTGACCGTGTGGTTTTACAGGCGTTGACATCTATCACAGACGGCTGACAACACACAGCAGCAATGGCGAGCTACAGTGAGGTAATTCGTGTTGTAAATGAACAATCCAGTAGGATTAAATGAATGATCCGTTTGTGATCGTCCGCGCGCTTTCCTTTTTTTAGGGTAGTTTGTTTCATGTGGGATTGTGAAAAGATTTCAAGGATAGTGTAAGGGTCGTTTCAGATTCATTGGCGGTCTGCTATGTTGTAATTTCCGATTTAAATAAACATGAAATGTATTCTAATCACTGAAAGTAGAGTTGAAATAAGATAGTGAACCAAACTGTTCTGGTGTCGAAACTGGTTCAACCAAAAAAATGTAGGATGTTCTTAGTAGTGGGGATTATAGAAATATCAAAGATGCAGGAGGAGGCATTTGTATTATCTATAGGTTTTCGACCTCCTTCTACCATTTGGAAAAAAATAACATTATGCTCGGTAGAAAATTTGCCTTAGCACAAGGGGTTATTTCTGAGGGCTTCAATTTTGGCGATATTTAACCCAAAATTAAATTTTCACAAATCAAATATTATAGATATGAAGGAACTGGATTTTCCTGGTGTTTTAGCACATAGAAAGGACTCGCCATGTGATGTGTCACAAAGTCAAATAAATAGGCTTTATGCATATATATTGAGCACTGATAAGTATATTTTGTTAAACCACAAAATTAGATTAGATTTGTTATCCAAGTCTGTGGTTAAACCGATCATTATCGAAACTATATAAAGATATGTGATATAATCATTTTTCAAGCATCATATTCTTTATGTATATGAATTGTCACATTTTCCATAAGCATGCTATTTCATGACTTCATTATGGTAATTAGCAGGAGCTCCGAGGCTTTGCCGAGGGTCTTCTGCTCAACATTTCATCCCGAGGGTTTGAATCACCTTATCCATATACCTCACATCCGGGATGGATTCTATTTCAACAGCTGTTCTTCTTCGAAAGACAGCCATCTTGGATTTTGACAGTGAAGATTTGTTATGGCTGCTTCTCAGGAAGTACCTGAGGGAACGTTCTCAAATTTTATATGTAGGTTTCCCTTTGTCCGTAGTTGTACAGGGCAACTTTTGAGACTGATCAGTTAAACAACATGGCCGACAGGCAGCCATCTTGGATTTTGACAGTGAAGGTTTGTTATGGCTATTACTCAGGAAGTACTGGAGAGATCTTTCTTAGTATTTTTGTGTAGTTTCCCCTTGGTATGAAGTTATACATATTTTTGTATGAGACTGATCGAATAAAAAAATCTTTGATTTTGACAGTTAAGGTTTGTTGGTGCTATTTCCCAGGAAATACTGGAGGGTTCTTTCTCAAATTCTATATGCAGGTTCCCCATTTTCCTTTATAGTTCATGTTTACTTTTGAAACTGATCAGTTAAACAAAATGGCCTATCGACAGCCATCTTCGATTTTTGACATTGACGGTTTGTTAGTACTATTTCTCAGGAATAACTTGAGGGATCTTTCTCAAATTTGATATGTATAGGTTCCCCTTGATCCCTCGTTGTACATGTTATATTTTGAGACTGATCATAAAAACAAAATGGCGAAAGGAAGAACTAAACAGATCTTTCTCATATTGCAATGATCGATTCTATTTGTTTCACATTAAGTACTACTAGTAAATATGTGAAATGACAAACTCACTTGGAAGGTTGGCTTTCATACACATCAGTATTAAGTTTAAATCAAAAGTTACTTCAAGGTGCATTTACTGTTAACATGACTCGATCAAACAGATAAGAAGGAAAGAAGAGAAAAGATCGAACTGACAAAGAACTTAAATGAAAATTTAAAATGGTGGGCGCCAAGATCCCTCTGAAATCTCTTGTTTCTGTACTTACAGCATCACCAAGGTTTATTCAATACAAATCACAATAACAATCAATAGCAATAACCCAAAAACAGATTGATGGTAAATAAAGAATTAGGTATTGTTTATTCAGAGGCGATGTGATGATAAAAACAGGTCTCCTTACACAACTCTGAGGATGGGTTTGACAATAGAAACATGGTTTCAGACCATCTGAGCATAGGTTTGACAATGGTTACATGGTTTCAGATCATCTGAGCATGGGTTTGACAATGGTTACATGGTTTCAGACCATTTGAGGATGGTTTTCACAATGGTTACATGGTTTCATGCCATCTGAACATGCGTTTGACAATGGTTGCATGGTTTCAGACCATCTGAGAATTGGTTTGACAATGGTTTCATGGTTTCAGACCATCTGTGGATGGGTTTGACAATGGTTATATGGTTTCAGATCATCTGAGGATGGGTTTGACAATGATTACATGGTTTCAGACCATCTGAACATGTGTTTGACAATGGTTACATTGTTTCATGCCATCTGGGGATTGGTTTGATAATGGTTACATGGTTTCTGACCATCTGAGGATGGGGTTGACAATGGTTACATGGGTTCAGACCATCTGAGGATTGCTTTGACAATGGTTACATGGGTTCAGACCATCTGAGGACTGGTTTGACAATGGTTACATTGTTTCATGCCATCTGGGGATTAGTTTTACAATGGTTACATGGTTCCAGACTATCTGAACATGCGTTTGACAATGGTTACATGGTTTCAGATCATCTGAGCATGGGTTTGACAATGGTTATCTGGTTTCAGATCATCTGAGGATGGGTTTGACAATGGTTAAATGGTTTCAGACCATCTGTGGATGGGTTTGACAATGGTTACATGGTTTCAGACCATCTGAGCATGGGTTTGACAATGGTTATCTGGTTTCAGATCATCTGAGCATGGGTCTGACAATGGTTACATGGTTTCAGACCATCTGTGGATGGGTTTGACAATGGTTACATGGTTTCAGACCATCTGAGGATGGTTTACACAATGGTTACATGGTTTCGTGCCATCTGAACATGCGTTTGACAATGGTTACATGGTTTCAGACTATCTGAACATGCGTTTGACAATGGTTACATGGTTTCAGACCATCTGAACATGTGTTTGACAATGGTTACATGGTTCCAGACTATCTGAACATGCGTTTGACAATGGTTACATGGTTTCAGACTATCTGAACATGCGTTTGACAATGGTTACATGGTTTCAGACCATCTGAGCATGGGTTTGACGATGGTAACATGGTTTCAGACCATCTGAGGATGGGTTTGACAATGGTAACATGGTTTCAGACCATCTGAGGATGGGTTTGACGATGGTAACATGGTTTCAGACCATCTGAGCATGGATTTCACAATGGTTACATGGTTTTAGGCCTTATTTATGAAGATGCAATAGTTCATTGTAACATATTATCTGAGGTTAATTGTCTGTTTTTACTTTGTGTACACAGATCATCACTTCCATGCGCACAGTTTTTCATACTGGCAAAACCAAGACGTATCAATGGAGGAAGCAGCAGTTAAACTCCCTAGTCCGGTTCCTGGATGAAAACAAAGACAAGCTTTCAGAAGCTCTCAACAAGGATTTGAAAAAGGTTTAAAACATGAGCATCATTATGTAATATTTCAAATCAATCTTTAGGTTTAAAAACTTATCTTTATATATGCAGCTAACTTGGTGTCTGTTTTGTACTGTTTTTGGAAGTTTCATGCATTAAGAATGCAAAAGTATACTACAATGTACAACAATTATTTGTTGTTGAGTGTATATATAGGTATAAGGGCTTCCTCGAAACGGGACTATTGTTATAAATAATGATTGCATTCATTCTTTTTGAAGAAACATGTAAATAATGTATAAACTAATAAAACATTTGATATCTTAATGATCTACCTATGAGAAAATATTACGAACTTGTCACAAATTTTCAATCGCCTCTCACTTCCTACGTGGAGTTGTTACAATCCTTGGTTGTGAACAGTAAAACGTATACTAAGAAACTATTGCCAAGTCGACTTTCGCTGTAACTGGTAGAGTCTGTTTTTGTGCAGTGTAAATTTCACCCTTCCCATGTCATGTCCTGTATTTTTGTCTGAAGGCTGCCATACAAGCTCCATACTTCATCTAATTTTATATCATTTTCAGCCCAAAATGGAATCCATTGTTTTTGAGATAGACTACTGTAAAAACGATCTGGTTGAGACCTTGAACAACTTGGATGAATGGATGAAACCTGAAAAGGTTGGTAACTATCATCGGAAGATTACGTATCTTTACTTAACATTTATGTATCATCATTAAGGTGCATGTATCATCATACGTGCTTACACATTTGTCCATGCCTGCATCATCTCATGTATGTGTGTCCATACAATTTTGTGAGGACTATATCTTCCAATGGTGGAACTTTTCTTAATCTTCAAATTTTACAGCTTAAATTATTAATCGTTACTAGATGATTTGTACTTTCACACACGCAGCTCTGTAACCTGAAGGTCATGGTCAAGGCAAGGTGTCAAAGGTCAAATTATTGTAAAGCTTGGTCAGACAATATCTTCTAAATTGATGAACCCTTCTGTATATGTTAGACAGAGTGTTGCCTAGCACCTCGGGTCTGTATCCTTATGGCCAAAGTATATGTAATGACAAGGGATCGTAGATAATATCATTGTAACATTTGCCCAGGGATCAAAGGTAAAAACAATTTTAAGCCATGAATTACAAAGGTCAAAGCTAATCTTGAGCATTTATTAGAGTGGGTCAAAGGTCAACATTGGCCATATTGTGTTAAAAGCTTGGCAATTGGGTACTTTGTATGGAGTGCTGTATCTTTTCTTCATATAAATGACATATTGCTTTACTTTCAAGGTCACAAGGTCAATAAGGTCAAACTTATTAAAAACAGATTCTTTAACAAAAAGTTGAACATCAAATCGGACTTATTGTTGCTGAGAATATTACAACTAACAAGCTTGACCAACATGCAGCTTACAGGTCACAAGAATTGTATAATAATTATAAGGTTATCCAGTCTGCTTAGCTTACACGATTTGGGTGCACAAAAGCTCTACAAACCCATTGGGCCTCTTGTTTTCTTTTCTTTTGAATACAAAAAAGTGTTATTCTGCTTGGTTTTAGGTGAAGAAAGGTCTAATGAACATGATGGACAAAGCTTATATCAAACGAGAGCCATTTGGTGTAGCCTTGATCATAGGAGCATGGAACTACCCCATACAGATCACTCTGTTGCCCCTGGTGGGAGCACTAGCAGCAGGTAAACTCTGTTGTGTTTATGGCCATTGACACTAAAGGAAAAAGCAGGTCTCACATTTTACCACTCTTTAGTTTATATAAACTGTTGTATAAAGTTTTGTAAAGTTTCTTAAATAACTTTTCTCTCGATTTTGTACTTTGTTTCAGGATGTATGTCAATGGCTGAGCAAGTTCGGTTTACTGGCTGAAATACCCAGAAAAAATGATCACCAATATGACCAGTAATTTAGATGCCATAGTCGATACATTGATATGTTAGTATTATCAATAAATCTGTTATGAGCTTTCAAAAGATATACATATACAATTTCTTTATTGTAGCGCTTTTTTTCTGTTTTAGGAAATTGTGCAATTGTGAAACCGTCTGAGGTTGCCCCAGCAACAGCTGCTGTTTTGGGGGACCTGCTTCCCAAATACATGGACAATGTAAGTAGTGAAGATTGGTGGACAATAGAGCATTTGTCTTCATTTTTCCCAACTGTGTCCGGGCTTTGGAGACAAATCTGTTTTAGAGTAGTATGCTCTACTGTAAAGTATAACATATCTTGTGACATTGTCCCTAGTGCAGAACAAAATGGATTTCTCATACAAAATATTGTATTAGAATTTCTATGTCTACTGTGTGTGATGCTAACTAAAATTTTGAATCAGCACTAGGACTCGGTCACAAAAGCAGTAGGGTAGGTTCAGCACTAGGAATCGGTCACAAAAGCAGTAGGGTAGGTTCAGCACTAGGAATCGGTCACAAAAGCACTAGAGTAGGTTCAGCACTAGGAATCGGTCACAAAAGTAGTAGGGTAATTTCTTTAATTTAATTTTGTGTTATGTCAACTGGTTTTACCCTTTGTCTGGCTTTTTCAGGGCACTTTCACAAAACATTCACCAAAGTATACTGTGTTTGTATTTCCACTGTTGACAGGAATGCATCAAGGTCATCAATGGCGGTGTTACCGAGACGACAGCCCTCCTGGCCGAGAGGTTTGACTACATCTTCTACACAGGAAGTACAACAGTGGGACGCATTGTGATGCAGGCTGCCACCAAATACCTAACGCCAGTATGCCTGGAACTCGGAGGCAAGAGGTAAACAATCTATAACCATGACCTTTAATACCCTGAGCCTAGACTTGTGTGGGTATATTTAACATTTATGTGATAGCTGAGGTAGTTTCGGAAGGGACAGATGCTTGAACTGTTGTAAAAGATATGGTGTAGTCTTTAAAACAGTAATATTAAAATAAAGTAGAATAAAGTAGTTACTCAAAAATAGTCTCAGCCGGTAGGTATGTAATTAACAGTAAAAACAAATTAGAGTGTTTTAAAGAATTTTACACCAGCGTATGTCTAGAACACATATATATGGTTTCACTTCTGACAAAGTTCCTGGTTGCCTTTTTATATATTTCTGTATCGGTCATTTTTTTTTTTTTTTGCATTTAAAGTTTTGTAGTTGTTTAGATTTGTGTGCAATTTGTTTTCATACACACATGTGTAAAATGATATGCAAATTCTGTGTTTATAGCCCAGTGTTTGTTGACCGCAATTGTGACCTGGGTGCAGTGGCCAACAGAATACTGTGGGGCAAGACATGTAACTCCGGCCAGATCTGCATCGCCCCAGACTACGTCATGTGTCAGAAGGATGTCCAAGTATGTTGTCCTTCTGAATAGGCTCTTAAATATATCATGTGTCTGAAGGTCCTTGTAGTGAATCTGTTTAAACTGACAGATCAGAATTATGTATTTGTCAGAATGATGTCAAGTTGTGTGCTTAAGTTCATAGACTCTCATCCCTACAGGTTGGGGTTCGGGAAAAGAATACACACGCTGTTACTCACTGCATGTATCGTAGGAGGCGACTAATAAGGGAACCCCCTGCAAAATTGGGAATTTGCTTTGGTGTCTTCTATTTGGGGACACAAAAATGACCAAAATAAATCTGCTGCGCCCATTGCAATATTTGGGATCTTTATCTTTCTTTCTAACTACTTTTTATTTCCTAGCGCCTTGCTTGGCAACACCTCACTTTTGGCCTTAATGTTGAGCGTTCGCCCAGATGAGGAAGGCAATGGGTTCTATCCCCAGGCCGGGACATTTCAAAGTCCTTAATAACTTTGTTATTCCCTGCTTAAGGTTCAGCATTAAGGGGAATGACAACAACTGGTTAAACCGTTGTCAGTATAATGTGACCGGGCGGAATGCTGTGCTGAGTGCCTTCTTCATGTTGTTTCAGTGAGATAGCACTATAAAGTCGGCATCAGATCTGCACTATCACAAGTAGGCAAGCAGGGCAACATACCCCGTCTCCTGCATACACACACGCAAGCACGCATACACTACACACATGGAGGCACATCCTAACTAAAAATGACCTTGGCTGTTAATAGGACGTTAAACAAAATTGGACTAATCCAATCATAGACTCTATATATACACTCTTCTCACACTATATTCCTGCTTGTCTTGAATAACTTACATTCTTTTCAAAATCGCCCTATAAGGTCTGTTAATTTAGTTTCTTGCAACATACTTTAGAACTTTGAGCATATGAAGCTACAATGTAGAAAACAAACTTTGTAGTTAAATGGTGACTAAACTTCTTAGGTCTCAAATATTTTGAAAATCTTTGTAGACAATTTGTAGAATAGAGTTCAAGATAAAAATCACCATAGATCGACATAGACTCTAAGATCTTGAATACACTCCAGGTAGGAAACCAGTATAGTGTCTGAAATGAGATTATAGTATGTGATGTACATGTGTGGAAAAAGGTCGAAGTAAGAAACCTATTTCAGATGTCTTCTGTTAAAAGTAGGTCAAGATAGAAAACTGTCTGAAGGTTTGTCAGAAAGAGGCCCAGTGGTAAACATGCAAACTGATGATGAACCCTTTCACCACTGTAGACCATAATGAACTCATCCAGATCAATGCAGGGGAGAGTCTACTAAATTGCATAGGGGTGAAAGGGTTAAGTACCGATATACATATGTAACAGAGATCATACAATGTCTCCACCAGGGATAGAACCCAGGGCCCCTTACACACAGGTTTACTGATGCTCTACCTATTGAGCTATAGAGAACATTTCTCTAGCAGAGACTGTAGCAAGCAGTTGGTATTTTACCAAGGTGTGTTATAATGGTATCCAGGCAGGGAAACTTGTCTTATCTGATAATTATACATATTTAGATATTTAGGGTTTCATTTCTAGCCAGTAGCGAGAAAAATACCTTCCAACTGCGGATAAATCACCTGCTACTTTCATGAAACTAGTAATAGAATGATAATATTAATAGGGTTCTATGAAATGTACTGAAATTACTACTTTGTATTAAATACACGCAACTTGAAATCTGATAGAAACCGCTGCATCAAAAGAATTTTAGGTACTACTGGCAGTGTAAACTATGTTTAAATTTTAAAACGTAACCAAAAGATTAAGTGTCAAGTGATATCAATCTGAAATAAAACGGAATCCTTATAAATATATGAAAAAATTGACAATACTTTTTTGGGGCAAAAATTTCAGGATGAGTTGGTTACAAAGCTGAAGGAATCCATTGCTATGTTTTATCCTGATGGAGTTGAAAAATCTGCTGACTATAGTCGTATCGTCAATGAACGCCACTTTCAGTAAGTAACATCAATATGTTTAATTCTGCTACGACATTTTTACTATGTATATATAACATCTTGTCAAAAACACTCGGAGATGAATGTTACGTCATGATCAGTAGCATACAGTCAGCATACATGTTTGTTATTATGCTTAAGCATACACTAAAAGTATGTTTCAGAAAATCAGTACCATTAGAAATCAATCTGATTAAAATCATACCTTGATCATCTCCACTCCGTTCTGTGAACTACACTCTGCTTCATCAGAGTGGACAGAGTGGACAGAGTGTCGATCAAGATATGGTTTAATCAGATTGCATTAGAAATCATTTTACATTATGCAATACTATGCAAGAGACCATTCCCTAGATACATTTATATTTTCTGGATAAATATGGTTTGATAATTGTATGTAATTTAGAATACAATTAGAACTTCTGGTTCTAATTCAACAGCTTTGTCTGGAGAGCTTTTTTTGAAATTGGTTACTGTGTGACTTCATAAGGAAAAGTATTCACGTCATTGATATTTTCACATTTGAACCTTACCAAATCAAAGACTGGGCAAGTCCAGTTTAAATAGGTAAGAGTGAATGAGTTAAACAAAATGTAAGGAGGAATGTAGTTGTACAATTTAAGATCTATCTGTGACGTCTATAAGTTAAGTTCTTTTGGCATGATTGGAATGGCATATTTTGTGACACATCATTTCATACAGCAGGAGTTGTTTGGGTGACACTGATAATAGTTCCTGTCACAATTACACAGAACTTGTTTCTGATTTAGATTCAAAGTATCAGAACTATTTTGTTTACCCTGATAAATAAAACATGATAAATATGTTCATCAATCGCCCTGCATACTTTGGGTATCCATGCTCAGGCGCGGCGCCCCACTAAATAACCACTGACTTTTGAATTGACTTTGGCTCTATCATCCTGTTTAATATGATAAATATGTGTTTTTTACATAACCCAAAGTCTATACAAATATCAAGACAAGGCATTTCAGTCACAAATGACTCGGCAATACAATGTATATATATAATCTTATAAAATATGTTTTTTTTGGGGTCCATAGACTCAAGCAGCAGAGTGATCACCAGAACATGAGATTGCTTTTTACAGACTTAGAGAAGAAACTTCAAATTTGATTGCTCGGAAAGTCTGTCAAAGCCCCCTGCTCCCTATTTAATGACAGAATGCCCGCCCATAGCCTTCCCCTCCTCGATGCTACTATGTCTGGAAGTGTTGCCTGTAGTAATCTTTGATATGCCACTAAGTTACCACACATTTGAACACTATTTTTGCTCAAAATCCACACTAATGATTTTCTTCCTACCTGCCAAGTTACGGTTGCTGCTGTTAATGGATTACTCGTTGTTAAGAAGATGTCACTAATGTAAAATTGGACAATTCCTGTTAAATTGTTAGTATATATATATATATGTTACTGCAGTTGACGAGGTAAATATTATCCTGCTAACTTTTATGAACCTGGGGACTGGAACAGATTGTTGACATTTGTTTTTACAAAGAAACTAACGACAGGTAGTAATTGGAGGTGGGGCAATTATTCTGATGAATACGGTATGCCATGTATCTGGATATTTTTTTGCAGACGCCTCAAGAAATTGGTAGATGGCTCCAAAAACATAGCAATCAGAGGACCATCTGATGAGAAAGATAACTTAATGGGCCCGACTGTTGTGACTGATGTCACCCCTGACGACATCACAATGCAGGACGAGGTATGTCAAAAATGAGCCTCATGGGATATTATAACTTTGGGCCATGTCCTCTCCTTTCACGACCTCAAGAGTTTCCTCCCATATCTAGGGGGAAATGCGCTATTGTTTCAAAACCTTGAAAGAAATTTTATCACATAATGGAACCATTTTACTATGTCATACGGCCATGTCATAAATATGGTATTACACACGTGTAATAAAACCTAAAGGTGCTGTGATTGGTCAAAACCTTGGGAACATATTCCTACGCCATTACAGGTGCTACTTTTTTTATTTTATACACTTCATGTAGTTAAGGCTCATCATCATGTCACATCAAATTATTGAACTTGTCAATTCAAAATGACATGAACACTGGTGTAAGATCCTCTACTTCCTAATTTCTTGGCAGAGGTCACAAGTCTGCCATTCTTGCGACAGTTCTACTTTATGAATAAATTTTACTAACTTTGTCTAGATTTTCGGACCCATTCTGCCAATCATGCCTGTGAAGGACGCCAGGGCTGCCGTAGACTACATCAACAGTAGGTAAGTTGGTCGGCTGTTTTAAACACTTTGACATCAAGAAGAAGGTATCCAGGGCATTGTGTGTGAGCACATGTTCAATCATAGGCATTATCATGAAAATCTTGAATATGTTGGTCGTGGTATAACTGTTTATGTTTGCTTTTCTACATACTGCTTACATTTTTGTTACATCGTTTCAAATGTTCGAGAATAAACGATGAAAAAGAAAGATAAAGTATTTTCTCACCAAATATTCTGCTATAATTGTTAGTGATGGGACAATTATCGAATACGGTAATCGATTAATTGATCGATAATAGATAAATTGTTTATCAATCAATTTCTATTTCCCATAATCGATTACAGGTAAAAATTGGTGGAAAAAAGATAACAAATTTTATTCATCACTAAATTACAAAGTTACAACAGTCTTTTCTATAAATTAGGTATAATAAATTTTGCTCCATGCTAATACGTCTCCATGTGTAAAAGTCTTTATTTAATACTATTTTTATTTGTGTACATCTACTAGTATAGGCATGCTGTGTGTCGTCACTTTGATTAAATATAGAGTCTATTTTCATTTTGTTGTACAGCCTAAAAATAAACCTATGAATGCAAAAAGTTGTTATAAATGCATAAGAGCAAGAACTTCTACACATATTAAACTAGAATGTTTTCAAACCAGAAACTGTTTGGGTCTGTCCATCATACTGTTAGAGTGATTGAAAACAAATCGCAGCATGACACTAGATCAAAACTTTGCTTCAATTTGACGCCTGATGAAAATGGTAACCATAGAAAACATGATGAAGCTGTTCCTGAAAAATATGGCTGTTCCATCATTTGATAAAACAGTTTGCTTAGAAAGCATCATGAACCAAAAGAAGCCACTTAGAGGAGCCTGATAAGGCAGCTCCTGCAAATTCCTCAAAAACAAATTGTATTGATTAATGTATATGCTAATTGTATCAATTGTATATCTATGTACTGTAAAGCGTTTTACAGTGGCTAATGTTAGCTAGCTAGGGTGCTATATCAAATGTTGTATATACTTATTATTATTATTATAGAGGTTAAATTGCATATACATTGTACTTGACATTTAGGATTGTATGAAACCATATTGTTCCCAAACATATTCTTCATGATGTGCTATGGCGCATCATGGAATATATATTTGTAAGAAGCTGGGTTTCATACCTAGCACATACTATTAAGATGTACTTCAGTCCGTAAGTAAAGTTGATCAGAACCCTGTACACAACTGTTACGTATTCCTTTACAGGGAGAAGCCATTGGCCATGTATGTGTTTAGCAACGACAAAGACACAGTGGCCAACTTTGCCGATAACACCAGCAGTGGAAGTCTGTGTGTCAACGATGTCCTCATGCAAGCAGGATGTAAGTTTTGGGTTTGATTTACCAAATGGTTGCTGTTTTGTTCCCAGTTTACTTACTGATGTCATTTATGAGGATAAAGATTATAAGACTCTTTCATGTCCTGGGGTGTAGGATAGGGAAATTTCACCCGAGGGTTTTGCAAATTTGAAAAAAAACGAGGGTGGAATTTCCCTATCCTACACCCTTTGGCATGAAAGAGTATTTTTCTCTCATTCGAACTACCAGAATAAGCTCAGAAACCATGAAAATGCGTTTGGACTGGCCACCATTTTGAAAATATCAATTTTTCCCCTGAGCTTTTTTGACGAAAACAAATCGTCAGCGAGATTAAGCATACCCAATATTTGCAAACAGACTTTGGGCAGAAATAATAATCTCATCTTTCTAATGTGTACAGTAAATATATCGTAAAAGGTTCTAATTTCATCATGTTGCCTTTTCTGCATTATGGCATCAGTGTTTTCCAAATTTATGACGTCACGTCATTGTTGAGCCATTGTGACATCACACCCATGTAAGATAGACTTAACAAGCATGGCTATCTTACATGGCCAGCATTATCTTACATGACCGAATATGAGAGAGAAAATACATTCCTCTTATTGTCATTACATAATATAGCTAGCTCAGCAAAAACTCCTCAACTTGTTTGGTCTGTTGTTAACATTAAGCCAAATTGTGAACAGGACTCTTCTGGCTTCTGCAAGTAAAATTATTGGTTTCAAGGGTTTAATTTTGTATGCACTTTAAGATGTTTTAGAGGAACTGGCAGCAGAGTATGACAATGAGAGAGAGAAGTTCTGTCAATTTATGTGATTTAAAACAGATTACATGCAATATATATATGTAGCGTATAACAGGTTTATATTAACACTTGCTGAAAAATTTGCAATTTTGAGCCATAATTAGAGAATTATACAGAATATTCTTTGCTTCAATAAAATAGTTTGGAAAAGTTCAACGTGTATTTGATATTTCCTGTTATTTATTTAAAAAAATCCTTGGCCAAAAAATGGAGCATCTCTATGTGAAAATGTGCCATTTACAGAATCACAGTATTTCCTTTTTTTTTCATTGAAAATTAAAAGGATTTGTAAAGGAATATTTTGTTAATATTTCACAGTGTCAACTCTGCCATTTGGTGGTGTTGGAAACAGTGGTACTGGGAATTATCACGGAAAGTTTACATTTGAAACTTTCTCACATCGAAGGTCTGTTCTACAAAAAGAGCTCAAAATGGAATCGGTAAACAGGTAAATATTTTTTGTATCTTTTAAAAATTAGTTTAATTAAAGTTTGATTTCAAGAACTTGAATGCTGATGTTTGTATGGGGTATAAATCCTCTCAGATTTCCCTTTCTGATCCGTGTTCACACACTATCTAGGGAAGGCAATGTATTTCATGACGAAATTTGCTCCGACACCCCAACAGTATACAGAGTTATGTCCCTTGTTTCATTTCGATACCAAACATTTTCCTCATCAGATTGATTGCTTTATCTGGTACATTCACCAAACTTGTTGTACTTAAGTAACGAGAGACAGTGGATTGTTGCATACTGAAATAGGGCCTTATGGACTATATACAGATTAATACAATTATCATTTGTTCATTTTTGATACAAAAATTTGTCCAGATCATAACTTCTTTACCATTTCATGACATCTGCATTAATTGACCTACCTTTTTTGTGTATCTTAGGGAGGTGGAGTGTTGCATATACTGAAATTTGGTCTCCCATCTCTCTATAACAGAGTTATGGCCTTTGTTGTTGTAATTGAAACTTTTTTTTGTTAATGATTGAAATCCTGTAAAATTTCTAACGGGAATTCATAAATAGAAATGTTCTAAGTTATAGTATGACTACCAGTATTTGTTTTATAACGAGATTTGGGCCCCACAAAAATAACTTGATTTCACAGTAATTTTGGTGAAACTTGTTAAATATTATCAGCACAATACAAAATGCCCTTACTGTTTATGGTTCCCAAAGGGTACTCCTGGAGCTGAAAGGTAAGAAGTGTGAGAGCGCAGTCTCACATATGCCATAGTAAGGTGAACTATGTGTGTAGCAAAATTTCTTCATAAATGTTTTTGTTCAGTTTTTCATCACAGTACTTCCAGTACTTTGACTTGAAGAATTTAATAATGTACATTTGAGACCTGGAAAGTGCATAGGTCATCTTTATTTATTATACCCTGTACCTACATGTAGTTAGGGGAGTATATAGTAATTGCTTTGTCAGTGCCTTTGTACGCCCCTCCGTAGTAAAAAGCCTCTGTACAAGATATCTCATGAACCCCATAAAACATTTAAAGCATACTTACACCATAGTAAAGATATATCAATTTCTACACCTGATTAGATTTTGGTGGTCATTGATGACGTTTTAAAGGTCAAACAAAGGTCATGGGAAAAGATTAAACTTAACCACTTTAAAAGTAAAAAGCTTGTGTAAAAGATATCGCACACCCCTAAATAAATTGAGTTTATACTCACACCATAGTATGGTTACATTGAGTTCTACACCTTATTAGATTCTGGTAGTCATCGGTCAAGGTCTAAAGGTTACAGATCATGGGCAAAGTGAGGTAATGATGGGGGAGGGGGATATATTAATATGAGCCTCTCCTCACTTTGAGGTTGGAAAGAAAGGCAAATGTTACTGATGGAGAACTTACTTTTAACAGAAAGACTATGCATCACACATTCCTGAATTCTGATCTGCCTCCAGATTACATTCTTAAGAAAACACCAACAAACAATCATTGAATAGAAAATAGCAAAATATCAGAGGACATTGAAATCACATACCTCTGCTGCATGTGCTGCTACAAAAGACTGAACCGTCCAGTACCACTTTATATTTGACAGACTGCGCTACCCACCTTATACTGATCAAAAATTAGGGATGGTCCAGTTAGTCAGCAATAAGTCTCCTAGGAAAGGATTCTTCTCCTTTTTCTCTTGATGAGTCTGGTAAATATTGATTTGAAAATTTGTCCATTGATGATACAGACACGCATATGAATTTGGGTTATTTAGTGACTAAATGATATAACACATATTCAAAAGAAAGAATTTTTATTATTACCTGGTAATAACTTTTAACTACCCTGTTTGAATATTTTTGTCTTAAATATTTTAAAATGTTACTTGTTACATTAAAAAATGTACTGTTAGGATTTCTATTTCAAAATTTTCAGTTTTAGTATTTTTTTGACTAATAAATCAGATGTTTTGAGCTGTTGGGTGTTTATTGGCCAAATTTTATGCATTTTGAAGTAGACGTTTAATTTGTTTAGTCCTAACTCACAGTCTGTGTGTTGTGCGTGTCTGAATTATCAACATGGGTTCTGTTTACATTCTGTTGTCTAGGCATGCAGTGACCAATGTTTTCTCTGTCCATACAGCTTGCGATATCCACCCTTCACTGACAAGAAGCTTAATATTATTACATGGGTGTCTGCCAAGAAACTAAGAAAGTCTGGATTAATGACCATTTTTCCTTATTTCATCTTTGGAACAATAATTGCTGTTGTTATAAAGGTAATATTTGCTGTGTTTTCGAAGTTTATCTGGACTTTTTTCGCCAAAAAATCTTATATTCTTGTTAAAAATTTAGAAATATTACAAATTCTATAAACGTTGGTCATCACAATCTATGTTACGCAAAGACGGAATAGTATATTGTGTATGATTTCAGCAGTGTTCATTAGAGCTCATTTGATATTCCCTGCATGTTTCCAATAATTTTGAAGTTATGTTTACATTTGACTTCCTCTAGTGTTATTGTGAAACAGAATTCATATATATATATACATGTATCCTTACTTTTGTTTGTATTTCTGTGCGATGAATTCATATATATTTCAAGTTGCACATATTTAATCATCTATGATTTCCTAATTATTTCAAATTCAGTCTAATTAAAATTGGATCTTCACTTGCTCCAATTTATTGACATTTTATACCATGTGACATATCAATAAAAGGGAGCAATGTGAAGATCTAGTTTAAATAAGAATGTTTAAATTCTTTTTGTAATAAAATCTATACAAGTTTGAAATCAGGAATTTTATGCATGTAAGATAGTGTTTGAGGAATCCATACTTGTAAGTAGTATCACAGAATTAGATTAGACTGTCTAAGTCAGTGCCATCGAAGTCGAAATAACTGATCTATATTTAAGAAAGTTGTCTGTTTATCTTGTTAATGGAACATTTAGAATGAAAATCAATCTACTGTATTTGAATATATTCACATCTGTTCTTAAACAATTCTTGTTAGTGTTTTATCTAAGAAATCACTTGAGTAAACTATCTCAAATCGCACATGAAGATTCTCCTTCGCCCTTTGTTCTACATAAAAATTTTGGGACTGATATGAAAACCAAGATGGCAGACAGACGGCGACGGCCATCTTGAGTTTTGAGAGTTAGAGTTTGTTAGCGCTATTTCTCAGAAATTACAGGAGGGATCTTTCTCAAATTTCACATGTAGATTCCCCATGGTCTTAAGTACATGTTGTGCCTATTTTATAGTGGGACTGATCATAAAACCAATGTTGTTGATACGCGTTCATTGTGAAACGTTAGAGCTCAAGTTTGTTAAAGCTATTTCTCTGAAAGAACAAAAAATAGAGAGATTTTTCTCAAGTTTCACCTTTTGTTACACATTCAGTATTGTGTTAGAAAATACATGTAGATCAAATGACAACCTCGCTGTTAAAGAACAATGGCATACACAGCAGTAGAAGTATTTGATCAGAAGTTACCACACAGTGGATTTTCTGTTTACATGGCTCAATACAACAGATAAGGGAAAAGAAGAGATAGGGATCAGTTTTACGTAGAACCGATTAAGATGGTTCAGTGCTGGGCGCCAAGATCCCTTTGGGATCTCTTTTTTCCAATCACTAGAAAAACTAGTAATCGTTCTTGAAGTTAAATTTTATTGATGTTGATTTACCATTATAATAAGTTAACATCATGGCTACATTAAAAGAAGTGCTCTATAATCCTTAGGTAGTTAAAGGCCCAGAATTAGATAATAACAAACATTTCACTGGGAATCTATCTCTGTGTAACTTGAAGAAGAAATAATTGAGGAACAGCCATAAAACAAGAGATAAAAATACAAAGAATATAGTGTACAATTAATTAGTGACAGAATACTGATGGATTTCGTAGTATGTCAATATTTCATCAGGTTCATATTTTCACACTAAGAAGGTAAATGCAAAAATATTCCAGCAATATATATATTTAGTATATCATTTCTCATGTTGGTTCTTGTACAGGAAAGTTTGGTTCTGTAATCTGTACATGATATCAATTCAAGTTATATGTACAAAATTCATCTCTAGACATGATGTAAACATGTAAAAATGTTCAAAAGGAAAAAATGACCATGACAATGTCATGCTGGGTATAACGGCTTTAATCCAAGTTTATGTTGACTAGTTTCGACACATGAGGCGTGTAGTCATCAGAACAAATTTAAATACAAAAATGCAGGTATAAGGTTAAAAATACGGTGTCTAACCTGGTAACAGTAATAATAAGGTTTGCTTGAATGACGTAATACATAATGCACAATAATGTTAGTTGTACAGGGTTTAACGTCCTATCAACAGCTTAGGTCATTTACGGACATGCCTCTATGTGTGTATGTGCGCCGGAGGCAGGGTATGTTGGCGTATTTAAAATGTAATGTGTGTTTAATTATTATTTCAGGCAGTTGGATTGGAGAAGATATTATCATCTTTCAAGTGAGAATTTTGTAACAAACTGCTGGAAACTGTGGTGGGAATTATCTTTGATGTGGTAAATAGTATGGGAACAAAAAGTGCCAGAAACTGTAATTGGAATAGGAAACATGACAATGTGTTCAGAATTGTTGTGGAAACGTGACACCTCTGTGTAACAGGGCTGTAATGGTATATAATGAGTGATTTAAGTGTCATTTATGTGTTTATTCAGGACATTGTATTGTACTCTTAGTTATTCAAGGGAGTGTACTCTGTTAGCAATAATTAAAACAAATTACTCATACTTGCCAACAAATTACTCATACTTGCCAGCTTTTTAAAATTTCCATTGGACAGATTGTGCATGCTCAGAATTTATTGCATAAATAAAATGTGTATGTACACCCTAGAGAAAAAATAACACATTTAAATGGTATTGTTTGATCTGTTCTTTTAGGTAAAATCATCAGATCTTAGAAAATAGGAATAGTTTAAGGAAATTCACTGGTTGAAAATGCTAAATTTTAGGGTCCAAAATTGGAGTCTCCTTCCTAAATAGGGAGAGTTGGCAAATATGATTAATAAATTATTTTATTTTATTTTATTTTATTTTGCTGAGTTGTGTACAGTGTTCAGTTTTAATCTGTCAATTTAATTTATCATTTCATCTCAAATGCACTGATTTATCATTGGGGTACATCTTTTATACCCTGAGGAATGAAATGTGAAAATGCTTATATAGAAATGTTAAAATATGTAGAATGAGTCGAGGTGGAAAATTAAGTTTGATCGGGTTCATAGACTAATCCCCAGCACCAGCACATCCCAAGTATCGATCATGACAAAATAGCTGCTGAGTCGATATCTACACTCTGATAGAAAATTTGTGTATCTCTATAGTGCTATTTATCAGAAGTTTTTGTTTTTGTTTTTGTTACTTCAGGAAAATTTTTGTTGGATTAAAAAAAATGAATAAACATTAACGTGCAATAATTTATCAATTAATAAGAATACCTGCTGTGTATTTTTGCTTGCTCACCTCGCTTACATGATCAATTAAGTTAACGCTATGGTGCAGTGTCTGACGTCCATTGTCTATTCTGAACTCTTCTTTTAAAATACTATCAAAGCAACAGAACGAATATTGTATCAATTTGGTACGTTAGATCCTAATGAGAAATAGGCATTAATCTTTAAAAAGCTACTCCTGAAGTATGGATGAAGGGATTTTGACCAGATTTGACATGGAGCAATCCATCATTTTCAACTTCTCAACTTATACTTGCTAACTGGTAACCAAACTTTAAACTTTAAAAATAATCCTCTAACAGTTCTAAACAGGTGCTGTTATTTTTCATGTTGATTACAATTTCAAAATGACAACATGTCGTCCGTCCCCCGGCCCCCTTTTTTATATCATCAATGCTTTCAAGGTTCTGAACTTATTATTTGGGTTGATTTGAAAGTGCAAAGCTTCGAATGAGGTTTGTCAAGACTAACCTTTAGACCTTGAACGACAACGTAATGAAACTTGAAGTGTACATGTATTCCCATGTGAAGGTGTATAGTGCATGGTGATGTTCACCTCATGGTCAAAAATTAAAACAAGTGCAAACCTTTTGAGTAAAATCATGGTTTGGCCATAACTTTATAATATTTTCAGACATTTTTATGAAACCTGAAATACACCTGCATCATCCCCAGAAAGTGTGCACTGGGAAATAATTAGTTCACCTTGACCTTCACAATCAGTTCATAGACAAAAGCTGGATAAGTACAAGATTAACCTTGTCTGGACCATAACTTTAAACTGTTATGTTGATGAAACCTTAAGTATACCTGCATCAAACATAGAAGGTGTACAGTAGATGTGATCACAATGATCTTCACCTCAAAGTAAGCAGTACTTCTGTAATATACATTACTAGGTTTTGTTTTCATTTTTGTCTTCACAAATTAATCATGTTTTAACTTGTTTGATCTAAAAAAAAATGTGCACATGATCTCCCTTTCAACAAATTTACTTTATAGTTATACTATAGTCCCTGCTTTGATCATCAAGAGCAATTTATCTCAGAGGGGAACATGTGAAAATATTAACCTTTATCAGCTAACTAACAATTTTGCTTGACCAAAAGTTTTTAAATCTTTCACGACAGTGAGCTAAATGCAAAACTTTTTTAAAATGTTAAAGTCCTTGATAATTTCATTTAAATAAATTCTACATGTAGAATAAATGTTTGAAGTAAAATTTAAAACATGGTCACTGGATTAAATTTTGGTTGCCATCAGTCATATTTTAAGGGTCAAAGTTCAGATTTTACAATATTTGTATTGAAGTAATATCTTTTTGTACAACACAAGGTTAAAGGTTCAAGGGTCACACTTCAGCAGGGCTGGGGGTATATCTGTGTAAGCCACCACTAACTTTGTTTATATCTTTTAACCCTTTCACCCCATGTAACTTTAGTAGACTCTACCATGCATTTATATGGATGATTCCATTATGGTCTACAGTGGTGAAAGAGTTAAAGTAGAGGACACATCTTTCTGTCAGTCATTATCTACCTGGTATGGAACTTGTACAGTCTGTGCCAAATGAAAAATACCATTTCACATTATTCTTGTCATTCTATTTTGTAGACATACCATTATCAGTCCATTAATATATATATTTATTTGACAGTTAATGATTTGGTGCTGTTGTAATCTATATTTAATTTTACATTTGAGATGCACCTCATGATGTAATTGTTGGAAATTCTTTATATATTTTTTACATCCTCTTGAATGATGATCTGGAAAGATAACTAGCACAAATTTATTTTTGTTTTTATTGACTTTCCATTGTATTGGCAGAAAATAAACACCATAGTGTAATGATACCTGACATGTGTTTGCTTTATTATATCCTGTTTGAGTTATGAAATAAAATGAAGCCATGATGCATAAAATTATTTTCTTTGTTAGTGTTCATCTGATAGTTATATGCAACCTGACTAAAACATTGGTTTGTCAGTATAGGAGATCGTGAACACAACAGTCAACTAGTTTTCACAACCATTTTAATCTTTGCACTATGCTTGCAATGTTATCCAAAAAAATGGGGGGAGGGGGCATCTGGTAAAAATGGAATTGGAAAAAAATAATGTTCAAGAAAGATGTGAAGAGAGGAATATTTTCATATCAGAATATATCAATATTTCTCAAAAAAATAAATATTTACGATATTGTTAACTGGTAAACCAAATTAGTGGGATAGATAGAAGCTATCATTCAGTCACTTGACGACATGTCATGCAAGAACATAGTGATTACATGGTGTTTTAAAATAGAAGCTATATTCTTGGTGACGGCAGGAGAGTTGGTTGGTTGTTCAGTGTTTAACGTCCTATCAACAACTAAGGCCATTAAAGGATGTGCCACCATGTATGTTGTACATGTGTGCATGTGTGCCGGAGGCAGGTTATGTTGGTGTATTTCCCTTTATGTAGGAGCGCGGATTCGATTTCTACTTTCTAGTGCTACCACACTGAAATACCATGCCAAATACTGCGAGTGATCTAGTTGTTGCCATACCCCTAAATGCTGAACACTAAGCCGGGAATAAAAATTATCATTTTGAAGGACGTTGGTATGTCCCGGCATGGGGACAGAACCCATTGCCTTCCTCACCTGGATGAATGTTCAACATTAAAGCCAAAAGTAAGGTATGGATAAATAAGGTACTAGGAAACAAAAAGTAGTTAGAAGCAGAGAGAAATACAAAGATCCCAGATGTTGCAATCAGTACAACATATTTATTTTGGTCGCTTGGTGTTCCCAAGTAGATGGCACGAAGGCAAATCCCTAAATTTGCAGGGAATTCCAACATTAGTTTCCTCTACCACCATCTAATTGTTAATAGCAGGTATGTTCTTTTCTCAATCCCTGACCTCCGGGTGTGTACGAAAAGAAAGAGCTGAGGAGTAAGCAAAGAAAACTTATTAATCTGAAGTGTTAAAATTGGGGCCGTAGATCAGTTTTGCATTCTTTAATGTGCTTGAACAGAAGATGCAACAAATTAATCCACCCTCTGGTTAGTCATGCATTTATGATAACATGCAGTTAGATACAGCAGGCCTATTGTGTCACCTGGAATATCAAGAAATGTTAGGCTGTTCATAAAGGGATGCACAGTATGCTCTAAGAAGACAAAATGTCCAACTCCTATGCAGCTGGTAGATTTGGATTTGCCATGGAAAATAGACATGCTTGGAGACCTACCAGTGACATGTTCCAGACTACTTCACGAAACGTACGGACCGTCCCCTTTTCTAATTCTACACAAGACTGCAGCGACATTGGTTAGGGGTCACAAAATGTGCTAGGTGATTTGTTCTGGCAACAACTTAGTTCATACGAATACAGATACCAAGAAAGACATCTTCGTAGAGGAGTGCTCATCAATGTCCCCACAGCAAAAGACACGGAAAGAGACATTTTTTAATAGACTACAAATGTGAGAGGAATTCTATTATCAACTGTTAAACAAGTCACAAACTTAAAAATAGTTTCAATAAATAGCTTAAGACCTTGCTTTATGTAACATTAATATGCAGCTATATGTGCATGTTTAACGTCGGTTTACCTAGTTTCATTTCAGTACGCAGTGGCGGATCCAGAGTTCTTTTGGGCTTCAGGAAACCCCCACCCTGAGAATTTTCTTTAAAAATCATGTGCTTTCACCATTTTCCTCATTTTTTTCTCCACATGGACCCCTCCCCCTTCTAGGAAATTTGGACCCCCCACCCCCCTATGCGCTGTCGAAAGGATAACTAGAAAACGATATATAAAATCAACAAACCTTTGAAGAGGATGAAGTAACTTTTACTAGCCTCGATTCATACAGCTTGCCAATTCCTATTTGTGAAACTATTTGAAAGATAAGCAGACAGAAAAAGAAAAAAAAGAAAATTATTTTTCTGATCATCAGATATTTCATTTTTTTTTTTTTTTTTTTCGGCTAGACAATAATGTATAANTAATTCGGTAGATACAGACAAGGTGATGGGTAATATTTCACACAATGAAAACGTTTGAAAATCAAGCTGGTATGGTTAAGTACAAGCGTACATTTTCTGTATGTTTATCAAAATGTTGCCTAAGAACGGGAGTATTTTTTTTTCCTTTGCATAGATAAACTTGGACGATCCCTTTGCTATTTACATATTTCGGCACTTTCGCAACAAGATATGGCATTGTTGTCATTATAGTTATCTACCTTCAAACGTATATTAATCACAGCGATGTTTATACGGTAAACAAGCACACGTAATAGGGTCAAACATTCCGTGTGTGGTGATCAACGCGGTATCGATCGTTGTGACAACTACGGTGGGGGAATTCACAGCTGTTGCGACAAACGTTACCTAATAGTTTATTGATATTATAATTAATGTTTCCGTACGAGCTGATGTATCTTTCACTTATCGATTTTTGCTGTATACTTAAGTCATTAACAAGTTTTTGTTTATGACGTGATGCCCCACCACTAACGATTCTTCGGGTTCAACATGACATCGGTTATATTAAGTGTTTGTTTGTTAAGGTTTAACGGTCCCCCGCGACAAGGTCATCTAAAGCGTCAAAAGAAACTCAAAATACGTCACACACATCAAAAGCATCTAAAGGTTAGAAATCTGTAAAACATTAATATAAAAATTGTACGAGTAGTGTAAACTCTATATTCTATTATAGAGGCATATTTCATGTTTTGTAACTGATATAAATATCACGAACTTGTTTCGGATCACAATACTTCACCCATTAGCAAGTCTGCATGAGTAATGTATGTATGTCCCGTGCCTATTCAGGCCAAAACTACCAACTCATTCCAATTGTATCTATGCAAAGGCCAAAATAAAAAGTAAGTTAGCTAGGAAACATGTCTGAAAAATAGGGCAAGTCGATAGTCAAACGATTTAATTTTCAAATTTATTATTTCAATCGAAATAAAAAACACCAGTATTTTCTGTGATATTCAACACATACAATTTAGGGATAGAAACATTTCAAATTATGTCGTGTATCAAAGAGGTAAGTATACAGCATTTACATAGAAAATAATAGGGAGGGAAAACTTCCGTTACAAGTTTACAAATTCTTGGATGCGAGTCTTTTTTTAAATGTCAACATTTAAATAAAAATCACAATATATACGTTTCGTTCCTCATCAATGTTTTGAAATCTGAATACGATTATTTTTTTATTGGTTGGGTGTTTCGTAATTGCAGTGTTTTGCTGCCATATCAGCTTGTCCATTTCCACTGTTTCCAATAAGACCAAATGAGATTTAGATTTATTAGCATTTTTTGTACCAGAATATCAATCATATTACGATGTTTATGACTGAAGAACAGACAGTGAACAAGAACACATAATGATCCTCCTAAATCTCTCGTTACAAGATTAACGAACCCACACACACACACGCAGGTGATTGTATCTAATACTTTCTTGAGCCTAGTAATAAAAATGTCTAATGCCTCGGCTGTGAAAATTCAATTAGGAAGTCGACAATATAAGGAGACCTCACCCGCAACTCATGCTGCTGAGACTGTAATACCATCCTTCGAACCAAAGAAAAGAGGGAAGGAACGATTCCCATTTCAAGTCTGCACATTCTTTAGTGCGAGTCATTTTTGAAATGTCAACGTTTTGATAAAGAATTACTGTCTATACTTTTCTTTCCTTATCATTGAGTTCACAACGTTGAAGACATTTGCCATTATATATCTTTAGAAAGTTGTAGACTGAAATACAATTTCATTTAAAATGCTCTATGACCCCCGTGCATTAAAACATCTAATGCAACGAGATCGTTTTGAGGACGCGATATTCCACTTACAGAATAATACTGATGTAATAATTGTAGGAACATCCATTATTACTATAACTATTGGCATTATCGCAAGCAGTATCCCGGCCACATATCCCATGCCCTGACAGGTGGGTCGCTGATCGTCTGCGCATGTCTTTCGTCGAATGGTAGAGGACAGCGTGTTTTTATCAATAGTCAGTGCAAATCGTATTTTAGCTGTCTCTATTAAAACATCCTCCAGTTTCTTATACGTCTTGTTCAGGCACGTGCATTGATAGGTGTGAATAGTGGTTCCCGCTGTAGATGGTTCATTTGTTGTCATCGTTACGGTTTCCGTTGGTACTGTTAGTTCAGCTGTGGTCACCTCCAGTACATTTGTCTGTTCATTCGTCGTAGTCGTTGGACTCCTCATTGTGGTCGTTGGACTCCTCATTGTGGTCGTTGGACTCCTCATTGTGGTCGTTGGACTCCTCATTGTGGTCGTTGGACTCCTCATTGTGGTCGTTGGACTCCTCATTGTGGTCGTTGGACTCCTCATTGTGGTCGTTGTTCGATCCGTGGTTGTTGACATTGCTTGTCCAAATGTAATTGTTAACACAGGCGTTGTTTGTTCATATGTCGTCATTGATGATTCAGTTGACACTATATGTTCAGATGTAAATGTTGTTGGTTCTGATGACGTTGTTGCAGTAGCAGTTGTTTCTTTTGTCGTTGTTTGTAGTACAGTTGTGTCTGTTGATTCATTGGTCGTTGCAGATTCAGTTGTCGGCGGTTCTGAAATTGATAGTTCTGTTGCCGATGCCAGTGCAGATGTTGTAAGTTCAGTTGTCAATGACTTAGATGTCATTCCCAAGTCAACTACTGTTGTTGACTCAGTTGTTTCTGATGTCTGTTCAGTTATTGGTTCCGTTGTCGTCGTCTCAGTTGTTTCTGATGTCTGTTCAGTTGTTGGTTCCGTTGCCGTTGTCTCAGTTGTATCTGATGTCTGTTCAGTTATTGGTTCCGGTGTCGTTGTCTCAGTTGTTTCTGATGTCTGGTCAGTTATTGGTTCCGTTGCCGTTGTCCCAGTTGTTTCTGCTGTCTGTTCCGTTATTGGTCCCGTTGCCGTTGTCTCAGTTGTTTCAGATGTCTGTTCAGTTATTGGTTCCGTTGACGTTGTCTCAGTTGTTTCTGATGTCTGGTCAGTTATTGGTTCCGTTGCCGTTGTCCCAGTTGTTTCTGCTGTCTGTTCCGTTATTGGTCCCGTTGCCGTTGTCTCAGTTGTTTCAGATGTCTGTTCAGTTATTGGTTCCGTTGCCGGTGTCTCAGTTGTTTCTGATGTCTGTTCAGTTATAGGTTCCGTTGCCGTTGTCTCAGTTGTTTATGATGTCTGTTCAGTTATTGGTTCCGGTGTCGTTGTCTCAGTTGTTTCTGATGTCTGGTCAGTTATTGGTTCCGTTGCCGTTGTCTCCGTTGTTTTTGATGTCTGTTCAGTTATTGGTTCCGTTGACGTTGTCTCAGTTGTTTCTGATGTCTGGTCAGTTATTGGTTCCGTTGCCGTTGTTTCCGTTGTTTCTGATGTCTGTTCAGTTATTAGTTCCGTTGCCGTTGTCTCAGTTGTTTCTTATGTCTGTTCAGTTATTGGTTCTGTTGCCGTTGTCCCAGTTGTTGTTGATTGATTTGTTGTTAGTTCAAACGTCGTTATTAGTGAAGTTGTTTGGCTTCCTTCAGTTGTCAATGACTTAGATGTCATTCCCAAGTCAACTACTGTTGTTGACTCAGTTGTTTCTGATGTCTTTTCAGTTATTGGTTCCGTTGTCGTTGTCCCAGTTGTTTCTGATGTCTGTTCAGTTATTGGTTCCGTTGCCGTTGTCTCAGTTGTTGTTGATGTCTGTTCAGTTATTGGTTCCGTTGCCGTTGTCTCAGTTGTTTCTGATGTCTGTTCAGTTATTGGTTCTGTTGCCGTTGTCTCAGTTGTTGTTGATTGATTTGTTGTTAGTTCAAACGTCGTTATTAGTGAAGTTGTTTGCGTTGTTTCAACAGGTGTTTGTTCAGATGTTTTAGCAGATGTTACGGGTGCAACCGTTGTTGTTTCTGTTGTTAATGATTCCGAAGATGTTCCATGGTCAATTGTTGTTGGCTCAGATGGCGTTGTTTCAGACCTCGTTGTTTGTCCTGTTGTTGCTGGTTCAGTTGCTATAGTTGTCTGGGCTGCTCTTGTTTCTAGATTTACTGTTACTGTGTTAATTATCTTTTGTTCGTCTGATGTCAGTGGTGATGTAGACTGTATTTTTGTTGAATTATTGAGAGTTGTTACCATAATGGGAGGCTCAATTGTCGCCGTATGTTGTTCTGTCATCGTCACGAAAGATTCAGTTGTAGTCGTTTCTGACTCACCTTCTACAAACAGATTTTCTTTTGTTATTTGCATTATAATTGAATAACTGCACTTTTTTTCAGAAAGAAAATTTCATACTATCACTGATAGGGCAAAATATAGTTTTACAGCGATGAAATACCTAAGTCGCTATGAGCCCAAAACATCAGTGTAGAACAAATAGAAACACATGAAAAGTAATTGTTCAAAGGTGAAAAATACAAAAACATTACAATCACAAGAAGTCGTCTTATCCTATATTATATCGTATATAGTATTTATAATATAAAAACAGAAACTGTATCAAACACATTTGCTTCATAGTTGATACACCAATTTGTTTAAATTTAAAATCGGTGCGTTTATTATTAAATTAATCAACATATTTCAACAGATTTTACATCCTATGCAAAAGCTTAGGTCATATGAGGACAGGTGCTTAGCGAGACACAGCTGAACAGAAAAATCAGATAGGAAAGGAAGAGACGGGAAAAATAGGAAGCGAAAAAGAACCCACGTCGATCAATGGGGCAGCAGATCAATCGTGGTCTTTACCATGTCCCTCTAGTAAAAGACATAAATTAAAGTCCCCGATTCTGTAGGGTATGAATTCAATCGCATACATTTATCTTTTGTAAAATGCAGGTAGTGGCCAGAGGAAAATGGCTCTCTGTACCATGATCTACTGGTTGCAAGTTTTAACCTTTCACTTAGTTAAGCGTTGTATAATAACCAATTCTTCAGTGTAACAATATTTCTTGTTTACTTGGTATTACTTAAAACATAAAAGTTTAAAACATTGAAATGATAAAACATAATTTTCGATTTATATAGGATTACTATGATATACGGTCCGAAGATGCAATCACCTGGAATAACAAATGGTGTTGAACATATTCCATGGAATGGTACGCTGCAGCTAGGTGTGGCGATCCAGTATCCACTATTCATTAAAAGGAAATAACAACTATCATCAGGCACGCCCTTTCACGGTAACCTTTTGTCCCAGCCAGTAGAGTTGATAGGTCCGCCAATCCAGGTGCCAACAGCATCGGCGTCAAAACTTGGATGTCAAAAATAGTAGAAAGCGTAATTAATGGACGTGAGGCATAGCAAATCGAAATAATCTTACGTATGGGCCAAAGACTATGAATGAAGAACATAAAATCACTGAACACTATGTAAACTTTGCGATAAAAATTAAAAAAAGAAGTGACTTGAACTTGATTGAAGGAAACACAATCACAATCACTATGATGTGATAAAATACATTTGAGAAAATATAACATCTAATATGAATGACTGGGAGACCATTCACGTAGTTTAGGTTTCAGATTGTAATTTGTTGTCTACGCGTATTCCAATTATTTTGGCCCTTTTCCTTCCAAAGTTTGTTATGAACTGTTTAAAAACTGAAAAATGAAGTTTAAAATGAATAAGAACTTAATCCTTTTAAAGGTTACTACCACGTACCACAAGAAAAAACCGAGGAACCATGGAAGTACAGTTTTCCTCTCATTTGAAAAGGAGACAGAAGCTGAGGTTATAAATGCAAGATTAGATATTTTATTATGCAGAATCGGGAATGGTTTTATCTTTGTCTGCTGTTAAGTGGACATTTAAAGATGAAAGAATAAACATGGTGTATCCTACGGCATTTATGACCGTAAAAGTGACTAGTTTGTGATCCCCCAATGTAGAGTCGGGGTTTTCTTGGGTGTCCTACTAAGAGGACATTGAAAAGACCGAAATTTATCTGCTCTCCCTTATGGTAACACTTGAGATAAAAAAAATTGTTTTGTTTCCCATCTTCCCTGTCATCTTTCCTTCCATCTACGTTCTCCTCCTGGCGATGTGCCCCAGCCACCCGTCCTCATATGACACTGGATGTTGCGAGAACGTTTGACCCAAAACAACAAAACATATATGTATAGGTTTGTTTGTGCATTTGTATGGGATTCAACGTCTTCGCAACAACCAGGGTCATATGTTGACGAATGCCTAGCGTCGGAAAGAGAACGTATATAGGAAACGAACTGGTGTAGACAAGAAAGAAAGATCCCAAATGTTGCAAGTTTGGTCTCTTCCAGACGTCTTTGCAGAAGATAGGACTACACCTGTAAAGTTGATGACACGTTTCATAACAGATTGAAACATGACGCAATTACATAAAATAATAGGCAAACTTATACATTCGTCTTAGTAAGGCCAGTTATCTTTACAAATCTTAGAACTAGTTTCAAATTATTACACGATATGCCTTCGCTGGTGCATGTACCATCGCTTACTTTGGTCTTTGCATACAACATGACCAATATTGACCGCTTACTACTAAGCGTGGTGATTTCAATTTCCGATCATAAACTTCCCCTATTTGAACGGAACATCCCTTCTACCTCAAAATAAATGTTTACTAGCGCAGTTGAGTTAACGGATGGCTTATCTAAATACCATGATTTCCGCCAAAAAATTCGACGCTTACTGGTGTATTTGAAATGATATTTGTCATGATGATGACATGGGGATGTTGCTACCCTGGTCCTCGCTTTGAGGACGTGACATTACTTGACCTAGATTTACACGCCCAGTGTGGTCGATGAAGCGGAAGAGACTTCCCGGAATCACTTGGTAATGTTCTTCTAGCACATTCACAAGGATCTCCATGTTGAATTACCCCGATGTTTTTAGTTTTTGTGTTTGAGGTACGGTTTTATTTATCAGTATTGTTGAATGACCTTCATTATCTAAGATAGTTAATTAATCTTAAACGACATATTCACTTTAATTACCTCAAGGCTAATTCCAATACCAAACTGTTGGCTTCAGCATCGGGTATTTGCGCTAGGACGCCACCATCAGCGTTGCATTCGTCGTTGCTCTCAGTGGCAGTGCCACCAGTAACCATCCAATAACACGTGCTATCAGTGTATCGGGCTGTCGAATTCGTCATAGGGCATGCTAGTATGTAAATATTGCCTAGAAATAAATCGTGCAGGCTTCTGTAACATTTAATATATCGTATTATCCACCAATATTTAGTTTACTATCAGTTAATCAATGGACACTAGATCTGTGAATTTTAACACAATAGTTTGTTTTTCTCTTTTGTTTGATGTTTGTCGGGTCAGCGCAACACCTACAGTAATATGAGAAGTGCCCAGGGAGATGTAAAGTAGAAAAGACTGTCCCATTTGTCGAAGGGGAGGGGAGTAAATAAATATCTAGATATACAATACTTCGACTGGGTAGTTGTTGATGTATACAACAGTTTGCTTTCTTAGTTAGTAAGCTGCTTAACGGCCCAGCAACGACAAGGTCATATCGGACTGACAGCGACAACAATGGACACAAACACTCCTTAATAAACCGAAAGATAACTGAAAGGTAATAACGGTAGAATCTGCATACTTAGGTAGAAAGAAAAGGCTTTAAATAGAGCGGCACTAGGTCAGTGCAACGAATGAGAGGCTTATTCAATATAAGCAATATAAACTACTTCAGGTAAAATATTTTGTAAAAGGTTAACCAAAAAAAAAAAAAAAAAACACAGAAAAAACAAAATACAAATAAAAAAAATTAGTATCAAGGCATCACAAGTGATACAAATCCCTCGCATTCACATCACGTCAGCAGAAAATTAACTTTTAACTCCTTATAAGGAGTTTGATTGTAAAACTCTAATTTTGGTTATAGTGCCTGATGAGACATATATTCAAACTTGTTCACGGCAAACATACCTGTCAAGTTTCACTATAAGCGGTAAAGCGATGCAATCTTACAAAATTTTGTTTAATCTAACATCTATGACTTTGAATTATAAAGTATGCGAACCCAGCAATACGTAGGGTTTTATTTTTTAGAGAGGTTAAACCTCCCTTAAAAATGTTAGAAAAATAGAAAAATAAATCACTTCCACTGGGTTGCAGTGATAGAAAAGTTCTTTACATCCTTAAATACCACCGTAATATTTTCATGGTTCGATCTTGTTTATGCTTTCACTCTTTGACACGAGTCCTTTCATTATAAGTTGTTGTTCTAAACTTTAGAGAAACACTTACCTTGATGGCTTGAAAGCAGCATGGCTAAACCAAGGAGAAACATATCTTCTTCGTGTCAATGTACTCTGTGGAGTCAAACAAAGGTGAAACTTGATAACAACCAGACATTCACCATATTAATATTTTAAGTTTAAGGCATATTTTAAGTTGGTAATGTCTTGTATGTTTATTAGTTTGATACTTTGAAAATCCAAAACTAGTACATAAACGAAACGATAATCAATAAATCCACTTTTAGAAATAGCGCTTTGTGCCACATCCAAATGAATTTCTCTTCATTTTATATCCCTTTGAATCTAAGATCTTATTTACTGTTTTAGTACAAACTTTTGAAAATATTAATGTTTCCTGTGTTAAAGTAGTTTACTTTTCTATTTTAACAGTGAGCTTATATGGGTTTTAGATAATTTCTCCGTATTTGAAACAAAAGGTCTTATTTAAGTTTTTATGTCAAACTAATTATGTACATTTTTTATACGTTCTTACAGAAACATGACTTAATACACACTCACACAATGTTATAAGATAAGCTTTTCCCTTTTTTTTTTTATCATTTTCTTGCTTTAAAAAGCGAACCTTGCTTCTAGAAATAAGCTCCTGACATTTAAAGATCATATTAATCAAGTAATACAAACCTTTTGCCAGGGACTCTTTTTGCCTTTCGTTCGAATTATCCACTGTTAGGCGGTGTGGCTGTTCATATAGGCCTACATGTACACTCGTCAATGTCATTGATATCGTGTTTACTAACTGACCGGGAGTTGGAAGGTTCGATTATTTTATCGATACCATTGATCTGGTCTCAGTTTGCTCAGTCATGGGGGGGTGNACATAAAGACAGATATGAAGGCAAATCAAGAGACATGTTGAAATTTTGAAATGTCTTAACCTGAACACGACAACATGTCAACCAGGTAGGGCAAA